TATATATATATATATATATATATATATATATATATATATATATATATATATATATATATATATATATATATGTAAATATATAAATATATATATATATATATATATATATATACTAAATTATATATATATATATATATATATATATATATATATATATATATATATATATATATATATATATATATATATATATATATATATATTAAATTATATATATATATATATATATATATATATATATATATATATATATATATATATATATATATATATATATATATATATATATATATACTCTTGCTGGTCGCTTGCAATTTTTTTAATTAAATGTCTAGTTTATATTTGTTTTTGTTTTTTTAAATTTGTTTTAAAGACCAGAAAAAGTTTAAAACCTTTTTTTTTAAAGTTTTTTTTTTTCTAATTATTTAATAGACTGCCTGCCTAAACTAAACCCTCAATTGATGTAGTGGCACTCCCTTGTAACAGCAAGCTATAAGAAAGTTGATGTAGCAACACTCCGCAGATGTTTTGCAGTAAAAAAATAAAAATAAAAACATTCAGAATGAATGCATTCATTTCTGACAAGTTTATGAAACAGTGTAAAATGAAAAAAAATTAGAAAAGTGATTTTCTACTAATTTATATATATATATATATATATATATATATATATATATATATATATATATATATATATATATATATATATATATATATATATACAGGGCTGTGGAGTCAGAGTTGTGGAGTTGCGACAATTTTAGCGGAGTCGGAGTTAGAGTCGCTAAAAAATATGGCAACTCCGATAGTAATATTTCTTGGTATTGCACGTGCATGTACAAAACATTCAATTAACCTTATGTTCATACTAAACCTCAAAGAACGTTGCATAAATTTGTCAAAAAAAAAATTTCAACTTATCGCGCAATATTTTTTAAAGAATTCAAAGAATTTTTCAAAAATTTTGCTTTGGAGTTGGAGTCGGAGTTGGAGTCGGAGTTTTACTCAAAAAATTTCAACAACTGGAGTCTGAGTCATTTTTTTTTTTTTACGACTCCACACCCCTGTATCTATATATATGTATATATATATATGTATATATATGTATATATATATATATATATATATATATATATATATATATATATATATATATATATATATATATATATATATATATATATATATATATATATTTATATATACTCTTGAATAATCATTTTTACTTTTACCACTGCTAGCTCAGTTATTTTCAGCTCAGCTGTTTTTAAAAAAAATTGTTTTGAAGACCAGAAAAAGTTTTTTCTTTTGAAAAAGAAAAGTTTTTCTGACACTTTAGCGACACTTCCTTGTAGTCGCAGGCTATATGATAGTCGATGTAGCAGCACTCCCTTGTAGCAGCAGGCTATAAGATACTCTATGTAGCAACACTCCGTGGAAGTGGTGTAGTGGTAGAGCGGTAGTGGTGTAGTGGTAGAGCGCTCACTTCATAAACGAGTGGTTCCGAGTTCGATCCCCACCACGTCCCTGGTAGTACCGCGCTCAACTCGTTTCTCTGCGCAGCGGCCTTGTTCGTCAAGGTTCGTGTTTCGGAGTTATAGAGTTGAGAGAGGGTTATAGCCACAAAATAAGTAGCCTCCTCGTCTGTAGTGGCCTTCTCGGCCTTGAGGAGGTGAAGTATAATTAAAAAAAAAAAAAAAAAAAAAAAGTTTTACAGTTAAAAAATATATAAAAATTTTCAGAATGTTTTTATTTAATAAAAAAATAAACATTCAGAATGTTTTAAAAAACATTTAAATGTTTTTAAAAACATTCTAGTCTTTTAGTTTGCATTTTTGTGGTTTTTTAATAAAACATTAAATTTAATTAGTTTTCCTCAATTAAAATAATTTGTTTTGTCATAATCTAACCTTAATTTTGTCAGTTTAAAAACCAGGCAACAAGCTACAAGCTGTTTTTTACTACAAACTATATATTTAATGCCTTTACTATAGGTATATATATATATATATATATAAAGATATATTGCAAGCTTTTTTTTAAATAGGGACCCAATGAAAAATGGGTCCTATTTTTCAAAATTTTCATATATTTATTTTTCAAATAGTATTATCATTTTTAAATATTTTTTAAATCTAGTTTTATTTTTTTATATAGAACACATTAGGTGCATAATGCAGGTTTTTAAAAATGTTTTTTAAACCACTATACATATATATTATATATATATATATATATATATATATATATATATATATATATATATATATATATATATATATATATATATATATATATATATATATATATATATATATATATATATATATATATATATATATATATATATACTTACTTTCCATTGTTAGATGTATAATATATAAACAAATTTATTAATAACTTATTTTGACAATTCATAAAAAAAGATTGTTTTTTGCTAGAGTACAGAAAGTTGTTAAACAAATTTTGAACATTATATGGGTGAAGATTATGAGAATGAAATACCAGATCCTGGTTTAATAAATGAATCGTTTAATAATGAAGATGATGTGGGATATGAAGTCAGCCATGGAAGTTCAGTAAACTTGCAAAGTTTTTTTTTTACAGAAAGCAACAATCATTCCAAAGTTTTTGTTGATTTATTTATTGTCACAGTTTTTTTGTTGTTACTTGTTGCACTTGTTTTCTTTTGCAAAGACTTAATTCCTTCTATATCATCTTATTTTTCACAAAGAATCATATATAAAACGTTTATAATTGTTGGTATAGCAATTTTGCTTTTTATTTTAGCAACAATCTTTTTTGTTAGGAACTTAAAACAACTTAAGTGTTTTTGGTGTTTTTTCTGTTGTTTTAACAAAACAAATGTGAACAATTTTTCGGATGTTAAGAAAAATAATGTTTCCACACTTTCACAAGATGATGCAAAAAGGAAAAATGGAAATTTTAAGCTTTTTGAATTATCTGAAAGTGAAATTTGTTTACTAAAGCAACTAATGACAGATTTTAAAGAGAAAGGCAGTTCCCGAGAATGGACCTTTTCCACCAAATTATCTAGCTTTACTAGACAAGATTTTAAAAACTCACATCCAGCTATTAGTTTTTCTGTAAAAATTTTTTTTTTTGGTTTTCCTAATTCTGGCAAGACAAGTATATTTCATCGTATTTTGTACGATAGATTTTCACAACAATATATTTCAACAATTGGTGCTGATTTAGGTCATGCAACATTGCACATTAATCCAAGTAATTGTGACAACCATGTTGAGATTAATTTGCTGTTATGGGATATCTCTGGTGCTGATGAATTATCAAGTTTATCACATATCATTTATAAAGATACAACAGCATTTATTGTTGTTATTGATGTTACAAAACCAAAGAGCTTATCTGAAGCAATGCCTTTGTTACAGGATATATGCACTTTTATGAAACAACCATATGTTGCTCTATTTTTCAACAAAATTGATTTACAATGTACAGATAAGGATTTTTTAGGTAATGAGAATTTTATGTTTGATGAGTTTTCTCTTTCAGCCAAAAATGGTGAAAATGTCTTAGAGAGTATTGTCGAGGTTGTGGTTTGTGCTGTATTGCAGGAAATAGATAAAATTACTGACAAATAATAAAGTCATAAATCTTAATTTAAAAAGAAATAAAAAACTTATATATTTAATTATATATTTTTTAACAGAAAAAATATTTTAAAAATTTTATATATTGTGCAAACACAAAAATCAGAATAAATTTTTTTTGCAAATATTTTGGTTATTATTACTTATATTTTACTTACTGCAAATTTATGGGCTACCATTATGTCACTAAACATGTGTTACTGAAATAGGCATTAAAAAGGGCTAGTCATTTATGTTAGAATACACCAAATAATGTTTCAACTAGTACATTTTAGATACGAAAGAGAAAAATTACAGAATTTTTTTTTTTTTTTTTTCTTCAAGATTTTTTTTTTAAATAAAATTGATTAATTAAAAAAAACTATTGTAACTTTTTCTTACTGCGACATAATGATAGTCATGGTAGTTAACATAGGAGTATTTTCAATAGATCAGAATTATTCAAAACTACTTTTTTAAATATGTTTTATAATAAGTTGATAAAATAATGTTAATGAATTTGTTTTATTTTTCTATTCCTTAGTAATATTTTACTAATCTTTAGTTTCTAAAATTCAACTAATCCTTCTTAATTGCTATTTCCTTCTTAATAAGAAGACAATACCTGCTTTTTAAAACACAAGCCTAATATAAAAAAGAGCTATTCTTTATTTATAATTAAGTTACTCCCTATCTAATATTAGTCTGCTTCCGACTTTATTTTGATATACTTGCACTTGCTAATAAAATAAATAATTCTTTAATGGTTTTTATTAAATTTAAATATTATATTGAATATAAACACTTTTTTAGATTAATCAAAAATTTTTAAATTTAATGTTATTATTTTTATTATTATAACTATTATTGTTGTAGTTAACTTAAGATAAATATAAATTTAATTTTTAACATGCAACATATTTATGTCACCAAGTCATTATTAATGGGGTTAGGTGTTGTTTGACTCTTTAAGGGAGATTTTGATTTTAAATTACTAAAATGCCTCTGTGTGTGTGTTTGTGGGGGGGGGGGGGGTAGGGAAGGGGGTAGGGGTGAAAAATGGTTGTGAATGGAGTTAGGGTGTGGGGTCCTGTTCCCGTTTCTGCATCAACAAATGTGTTATATATAAATTCTTTAATAACAAGATATTTGAACTTATTTAAGCTAATGCTATGAAGTTTTATGCAACAAGTTTTAGTTCATGAGAATTTCTTCTTCATATATATTTTTTTGTATTTATTCTTTTCTAAGAAAATTATATTTTAATTAAAATTAAATAAAAATATAAATGTGTAATAAAAGTTATTGTTTAATGTTATTGATTTTGTAAGTGCGTATTTTTAAAACTCTGTTGTTGATTCATATCTAAAATATTTTTATCCAATGGTCTGTATATTAACTTTAATTTTTTAATCCCAGATTAAAAGTTATTTCAAAGCAACTCCCTTTGAACAGCTTTAATGTTAATCAACATTATTTTCTCTTTGATTTGATTGCTCTTTTGATTTGTTTGTGGTTCCAGAATTTGTATTTATATTTTAAAGTGGAAGTCGTAGTGTAACAAAATGTTTATTTGATTTTGATATTGGTTTGTTTTATGAGCTTCAATGATGGTGAAATATCAAGGTAATTTTAGTGTTAAGATTTTTTTTTTTTAATTTTTATTGAGTTTGAAGTTGCATTTAACTTTGAACAGTTATATATCTATAAAATCAAATGTTATATATTGGGCATTTGTTTTAAAAATAATCTACATTTTAGAATTATGTTAAAATTGTTGATATATGCAAATAAATTTTGCAAACAACATGTTGGAGTCTAATTGTTTATAGTTTTTTTTTTTTTTTTACCTTGAACTGTTTTTCTTTTTTGTTTGTTGATTATAAAGAATGTTTATTTTAGTGATCAAAAGTTTATTTAAAAAAAAGAAAACAAATACTATATAAATGTTTGAACATACATGGAAAAAAATCCATATGTAAATATTTACTCTTAAGAATATAACATTTGTTTTTATTGTAAATATTATTTTTATGAACATTTACATATAACTTCTTTTCATAAATGAATAATTTTAGTCCTTTGTATATATAACATTATTTTTAATTGTTGTATTTCTGCTTATAAATTATTTTTCTGACCCACAATGAAGTTTTAGAATTTATATTACATTTTAATGACTGGTAATTTGTTAATGACTGGTTTTTACAGAATGTTACAAGGGGTTCTCCTTTACACTTTATTATTTTTTAGTTTCATAAGATTATTTTAAGTTATTTCAGACCATTTTTTATAGAAAAACATTATATTATTCAAAACATTATTTTTTTAAATTTTTGTTTTTTTATCATTTAATTTTTTTAATAATTTGGTTATTTTTAGTACATTTATATATTAAGTATTCTATGATTTATTCATATATATATATATATATATATATATATATATATATATATATTATATATATATATATATATATATATATATATATATATATATATATATATATATATATAGATAGATAGATATATATATATATATATATATATATATATATATATATATATATATTATATATATATATATATATATATATATATATATATATATATATATATATATATATGTATATATATATATATATATATATATATATATATATATATATATCTATCTATCTATATATATATATATATATATATATATATATATATATATATATATATATATATATATATATATATATATATAATAATTTTAAACAGTTAGATTAGATTTTTGCATGTTTTTACCATAAGAATGTTATAAATAAATTATTTGCAGTTTTTAAAATAATGTTTAAAATTCTTTTCAATTTTCACTTTAGGTTTCATTTCAATTTAGGCTTCATTTCAATTTAGGATCTTAATAATCAAATTCAGTTATTATTCTTTTAAAATGTTTCACTTATTATTGGGTTAATTTTCCTAAAGTTTTCATAAAAACTCATTAAGTTTTATTCGTGACTTTCAGTAGCTTCATATTATGTTTTATTCATGAGTTTCAGTAAATTCATATTATGTTTTTTTATAATTTTTAAACATTACAATAGAACAGTTTTTTTTGCCAAAAGTAATGGAAATCGCTGTAATATAATAATTGTTTTTAAAATATAAAAAATTCAAAGCAGAAGTCACAACACATAATTGGTTCAAAAAAACACCTTTTGTGGGTCAGCAGGTATTTTCTAGTCTTGTGTAACAACATTTTTGTATGGTATATTATCTATGAAACTTATTTAAGATAGGAATAAATATCAAAAATATTTATCAAAAAATAATTTTGTTTCAAATATTTCTTTTTAGTTTCTTGGCTTTTTTTAAATTAGTTTTTTGAATTGCCATTTATTTTTATATCACTTATTTATTTTTTTTAAATAAATATACACAAAATTTACATTTATTTACTTTTACTATTTAAATACCTTATCTCATTATATACATATAAAATCTTATTAAATTTGTTTTAATTTACAAAATTTTAGAGCCTTCTAATTTTTCATTTTATTTTGTACCAAGTCATAAAACTAAAATGGTAGCAATGGCTGCCTTTTGTATCGGTTTTAAAGCGGAAAATAAAAGGACGCATAAACTATATTCATTTAGTTATATGAATATAATGTTTTTAAGTAAACTCAACTCAAAATTAATAAGATATTTAAATTTGAATTTTTTAAATTTTTAAATAATTTATTTTTTCTGTGATTTTCTTTTAAGGTCAAATTGATGTCATGAGTTCGCCAGCACTTTATCATCGTTCTATGTAAGTAATTTAGGTAGTAATTTTTTAACTTGCAAGAAATTGCAATTAAATTAAGCTTGCAAGCAATTTATCATTTATTTAAAAAATTGTTCTGTAAGTTATTATTTCTTTTTACATAACTTTTAAATTGTAATGTTGTTGAAAAAAACTTGTTTAAATCTGTTTTAGCTCATTGACCCGTGATAATCGTGTTAACAAAGAACATGAGCGGGCATTGAAAAATTTTCTCATTGAAATGCGTAAGATTTCTTTTGGTTTTTACTCATATGACATTTATGATCATTTTGGAACTTTCTTATATATATATATATATATATATATATATATATATATATATATATATATATATATATATATATATATATATATATATATATATATATATATATATATATATATATATATATATATATATATATATATATATATATATATATCTTTATTAATAATCAAATTCAGTTATTATTCTTTTAAAATGTTTCACTTATTATTGGGTTAATTTTCCTAAAGTTTTCATAAAAACTCATTAAGTTTTATTCGTGACTTTCAGTATATATATATATATATATATATATATATATATATATATATATATATATATATATATATATATATATATATATATATATATATATATATATATATATAAATTTTTAGTAGAAATATGAACACATTTTAGCATATTGTTAAAATACATAAGTTTTACTTAAAAATATATCTAATTATGTAGGCAATTACTGAGTAAATTGCTTAACCTTGCGTGAATAAAAGTTTGTGCTTTTATTTGAATAAAAGTTTTTATTCACAGAAAACTGAACAATTGAGTAAAAGCTTTTTTTATTCGCCCTGCCTTATATCTAAAACTAAAGACAAAACACTCTCTTTACATGTTTTTGTATGCAGGCCGTAATCCCCTGGTATATTGATGAAACTACTTTTTAAGAAACAGATTATTAAACATTTTAGGAGAAAAAAACTTACATTTTTTTCTCCTAAAATGTTTAATAATCTGTTTCATTCAATAAAAAGATTTCATCAAGACTTGATGTTGTTCCATAGAACAAAAGAAAAGTTCACACTTTTATTTTGTTCTATGGATTAACATGAAACAAAAGAAAGAACTTTTCTTTTGTTCTATGGAATTTTAGAAATTAATAAAAAAGATACTGCTAAAAAATAATTGTACTGTTCACAAATAATTTTAAGTTGACTGAATTTCATTTAAATTAATATCAAGTGCAGCCTCCTTTTGCCTTATGATGATCTAAACTAGACAATTTGGCATTGAATTGATCAAATTTTGGATTATAGTGTGTTGATTATAGCTTCTTTCAAAATGTTAGGTTTAAATGCTTGTTTGCCAATTTTTATATTTAAATACACGCCAGGATTAAAGTCCAGATTACAAGTTGACCATTTCAAAACATTGAGGTTATTTGTATTAAAGTATAGTTTTTTTAGCAGTTTTTTATCCTGCTAAAACATAAAGTTCCCGTTTTCATTTTTTTAATAGATGACAATTCAACTTAAATGACAATACAAAATGAAGCATCCAATTTGTCATTAATAAATGTCAATATCTCCACTCTTTTCCACCTCATACAATGCCAGAACCATGGTTTACTTTGAAAACAACTTAATTTATTATCTTTTTTTTGCTAGACTTTTTACACTCCGTTGATGAAACAAGATTATTTTTGACTAATCTGACCCCAAAAAATTTTTCTAATATGATAATAATATTTTTGTGAACTTCTTTTCAATTTCCAAATAACATTTTGTTTATTTTGTAGTTAGGAAAGATTTTTTGGTACTACTCTATTTTTATAAATATATGTGGTTATACATACATACATACATACATACATACATACATGTATGTATGTATGTATGTACCATGTATGTATATGTATGTATGTATATGTATGTATGTATGTATGTATGTATGTATGTATGTATGTATGTATGTATGTATGTATGTATGTATGTATGTATGTATGTATGTCCACAAACATATATAAAACAATTAACTTTTTATCTTATAATTTTTTTAAATATTTTTTCGATTGAAGGCAAGAAAAATTTTGATGAGATCAAACTATCAACATACAGAGCAGCCGCTAAGCTTGTGTTTGTTCAAACAACTACCAGTTGTATGTGTTTTTTGTTTTATTTTTAGCTGCAGTGTTAGATTTTAAGATAAAGTTACCTTTTATATTTTATTCAAAACTTTTTAAATTTTACTGTATTAGTGAACCTTGTCGATATTTACAATGTTATTGAAGCATTTCGTGAGAATGGATTAAACACTCTTGATCATACTGCAGAAATTGACGAACCTCGGCTTGAATGCATTATTGCCAGTATATATTATTCTCTTTACAAGCGCCTTCCTTCAAAAACTGATATTGATGTTGAAAAATGCATTGCTATCCTCACTCAATGGATCATGCATGCATATGACAGGTAAATTTCTTTTAACTATTTTTCTATGTTTTATGACCTTTGTATAAATTTTTTTTGATGACCTGATGCCGACCTCTAAAAGATTGAGGTTGGCAAATTATTGCCGACCTCATTTTTCTTAATTTTGATATATATATATATATATATATATATATATATATATATATATATATATATATATATATATATATATATATATATATATATATATATATATATATACATCAAGCCTTTCCTTGTACATCCACACCTAAGTAATTTTTTTAGACAACTTGACCATGTTTTAGTTAAGTAAGCGTTTTACGAATTTGCAGCAAATAAAAGCTATAAGAAACTAGAGAATAAATCAGAAATACTTGAAGAAAAGAACTGACAATACAAAATAGAAAATCTTAATAAAATAAGTTAAAAAAAAGTTATTAATAAGAAAAAGAAAACTATTGTCAAAAAAATAATATACCTAAATATTAACTGATTTTTTCTTATTTTTAGAGCGTTTGTTATTTTCCACTACCATAATTGATACAAGTCAAGGAAAAAATTAGATAAGAATATATCGAAAACAAAAATATTTTTGATATACAATTTTTTTGCAACTTTTTTCAGTCAGTATATTAAGGAAACATTTTATAAATTGTGCTAGAAACACTAACAATTTTTAAATTTGTTTTTCGTATGTCTTTGCTAAAATTTACTGTTTTTATAAATGCACAGGAAAGCAAGAAAACTAATTAGTATTTATTTGTAAAAAAACAATTAAAAAAAAATTTTTTTTTTAACAATTTTATATATATATATATATATATATATATATATATATATATATATATATATATATATATATATATATAAATTGTAACGAAATATCAAGTTTAATTAAATAAACTAGAAAATTTTTTTTATAAAATTTTATACAACTTTGGTATTCTTTTTTTTAGAGACGTTGTTGAAAAAAAGATTGTCTTTTAAAAAGATTTAACAACAATTAAAAGTTTTGTATATAAAAGTATATATATATATATATATATATATATATATATATATATATATATATATATATATATATATATATATATATATATATATATATATATATATATATATATATATATATATATATATATATATATATATATATATATATATATATATATATATATATATATATATATATATATATATATATATATATACTATTCAAATTATTAGACTCAAACTCAATTTTAAAATTTTTGTATTTTTTGTGTACAAGTAGTCACAACTTAAATATTTTGTTATGAATTCATTATAATAAAAACTTAGAACTTAGAATTTATTGTATTGATCTATACAAAGCATGTTATGAAGCCTAATACTTTATGGTGACTCCTTTCGACTTCAAAAGAGCTTTGATACAGCATGCTATTTATGCACTTTAAGATTAATGTTTTAACATCTGGATCTTGACGCCATACTTCAATCAGTCATTCTGCGAGCTTCTGTTTACTCTTTATTCTATGAGAATAAAGAGTAAACAGAAGCGTAATGAGAAAGAGTATGTTCTTAGAATTAGCTTAGTCTGCAGGACCGTCTTGTACTTATCTTATTTCATAAGGTTATTATTTGTAATTTCAAATGTCTTTGAAATCTTGTATTTATAAAATATACTATTTGTTTAAGTGTAAGGAGAGAACAAATAGAAAGTTTATCTTATCATATAATATACATTAATAAGTCTTCAACGTTTTTTCATGCTCAAGCCATTGTGCTCTCGCCCACACGTCTGCAAAAACTTTGATCAGCACATAAAAAAACGCTTGCTAAAAAAGTAAAAGCGTTTTTTTTTTTTAAATTGCAATAAATCTTTTTTGTTTATCACATATTTTTATGAAAAGTCATGGGAGCACTTTAATGTTTAAGTTATTTTATTTAGAATTTAAATAATAAATTTGTTTTGCTGTTTTCATTCTGATTTAGAATTAAAATAAAAATGTTCATTTTGGCGTTTTTAATGTAATTAAATTTAGAATTTAAATCAATAGTTTTTTGTTTTTTTTTGCAGGTTTTATTTTAATTAATTTCATACAAAACTTAAACAAAATGTTCCTTTTGACATATTTATTTTTAATTACTTTATTTAAAATTTAAATAAAGTGCCTGTCTTTCTATTTTATTTTTAATTATTTTGTTTAATTTTAATATAAACCATTTTTATTATTTTTTTCAATGACATTTTTATTTTAATTACTTTATCTATAATTCAACTATATGTTAATTTTAACATTTTTAGTTATTTTGTATGTTTATAAAAGATGTTTTTTTTTTTGTTGTTGTTGTTTTTATTTTAATTTTTTAATCTAGAATTTAAATAAAACGTTCATTTTACTGTTTGTTTTTTTTTAATCTTTTCGTTTAGAATTTATGCAAAGCATTACTATCACTTTTACTTTAATTTAAATAGCAAATAAAGATGAATTTATAAAATTGCGCATTTCAGCCTAAAAATGACCATCTAGTCAGTGCTTTTTTGTTCGCTGAAATTTAATATTAGTGATTATGTCCATATAAGGGATGTTCTTTTGTAATGGGACAAATTTTGGACCAAGATTATGTAGTTCAGTAGTTGCTTTATCCAAAATAATATTGAAATAATTGTTAAATTTAGTCAGCTGGTTTTAAAATTCGATTGGGAAAATTTTTTTAAAAATAGTTTTAGTACAGCTGGTTTTAAAATTCTATTGGGACACACCCCGACACACCCTGCCTGTGTATCGTTTTCTTTTAAAATAGATTTCAATAAAATATCAAATCTTCAATATCAAATAATCATTTGATATGGAAGATTTGATATTTTATTCATCAATTACTTTCTTACTTCAATATAATAATATATATAATTTGAATATAATTTTTTTGCTTCGTTTTGAGTTTAACCTAAAATTTTTTTCTGTATTCATTATAGTTTGAGCTTTTTTGGTACGCAATGGACTTTTTATTTTAAACAATTTAGGAATTATATTGTTTGATATGCATTTATGAAGAAAAATAAGTTGATTTTTTGCATTTGCATTTCGAATCTTCAAATTTTAAATTTTTTCATTTTATTGTAAATCTCTTTGGTGTAAAGAGCAGTGATAAAATATTTTAGATAAAAAATTTTTTTTTCCATATCTTCTACTTATTTTTAAATACTTCAATCATTTCTATGTCTTGATTATTTTTCATGTCTTCTGATCTTTTTTATGTCTTCTAATTTTTTTTATGTCTTGATTATTTTTACATTTTCTATGTCTTCTGATCTTTTTTATGTCTTGATTATTTTTACATTTTCCATGTCTTCTGATCTTTTTTATGTCTTGATTATTTTTACATTTTTTAAAACAATCTTTTAAAATATTTTCATGTTTTATATACATATAATCCCATATAAAGGTTGTTAACTAGTCAATAAATAGTCAGGTACATGTAGATATAAAGGATTTATATCTACATGTACCTGATTACAGCTTCTCTAATAATTCTATGCAAAGTGCATAAACTGGATTGTGAATATTTCTGAAGCTGTTTTAGCAATCTTTAAACCTGTCATATTGCAGTGAAGTTTTTTCTATAGTTTTTTTTATTACATAATATTTATTATTACTCTTATTTTTATTTATTATTTGTTGTTAAATACTTGAAGATTATTTTAGATTATTTATTATTATTTTTTTCAAATAGAGATGGCATAAAAAAAATCAGAGTGCTTTCTGTAAAAACTGCTCTATCAACTTTATGTGAAGGAAGACTGGTTGACAAACTCCGATGTATGTTATTTTTTATTATGGTTGGTATTTGTTCATTACCAGGTTGATATTTAATAATTTTAAGGTTAATATTTATCAATTGCAAGGTTGATGTTTATCAATTGCAAGGTTGATCTTTATTAATTGCAAGACTGATGTTTATCAATTGCAAGGTTGATGTTTATCTTTTGCAAGATTCAAAGAGACTTTTAAAAGCTTTATATTTAGAATTTTTGTGTTGAGCTCTCTAAGTCAAAAGCCTAACAGAAAAGAATTTTTTCTTACTCCTAAAGAAATTGTATTAAAGAGATTTTTTCTTTAACATACCGCTAATTTGCGGATGTAATAATCAATTTTCAAAATAATGAAAATTTACATAGTTTAATAATCCCATAAGTCTATGTTTATTAATCTCAATTTCAATAATTTTTGAAATTTTATTTTATTATAAACTAATGTTTTTTATTTTCTAATATAAAATTATTATTTGTTTAGATGTATATACCCAGATTTCTGAATCTAATGGAATACTAAATGTTGCAAAATTAGACAATTACCTTAGAGATTTGCTAACGGTAATCTTAGATGATCCATTATTATATGTTACATGTAGTTTGATTATATGTAATTTGGTTCACTTTTTTTCTTCTAGCTACCCTGTGCAGTTGGAGAAGAACCAAATTTTGGCTACAGCGAAGATATTCTAGAATCATTCATTAAACCAACTGGGGTATGGTGTATTTTACACAGACTTTTATTTTGTTTTATTATTTTTGAATATTATTTTTACACATTTTTTTTTATGTATAATAAGGTTATGAGTTCTTTACAAATTTTAAAAATCTATCAAAATTTATAAAAAGCTATAAAAAACTTATTTTTTACTTAATTATTTTTTTTTACAGCTTTTTATTTCAATTATGTTATATAAAATTTTAATAAAAGCTATAAGTGTTTTGGAATAAAAAAAATTTAATTTTTAATTTTTTTATTTATTTTCACTTTTGTTTATTTAATTATAATTTCTTGATTTTGTCAGGACCGTAATTGACCTAGCAAAAAAAAAAAATTTATAATAAAAAAAAGTTATCAGTGCATGCATTAGTTTCTTTACTGCATAGTGCAGAATATAACAAACTTAAGTGTTATTATGTGAAGGCATGGTGGAATGGTGTAACTTTAATAATTTTTATTTAACTTTACTTTAAACATTCATGAATATAATTACTGAATCTTGTTTTAAAAACAATGTTATGTAACTAAAACCCAGAATTTGGAAATCTGCATTGTTAAAAGCTGCTTAATCTAATGGCCACTCACAACCAGATACTCTTGGCTTAGCAGAATGAAATCCTTTGTTTAATCCTGCTCATTAGAAAATTTTTTATTAACAAACTTGTCTAATTTTTCCTCACTTGTAAGGTCTGTAAAGCTGGGGAGCACTGTGAAACTGGGAAGGGCTGTGAAGCTGGGGATGGCTGTGAAGGACTGAACACACCATATATTCTGTGCACAAAAAAAAAGTTAAAAATGATTATGGAAAACTATATAAAACACAAATTTATTTTAAAAAAATATTTTAGAAGTTTTGCCTTTAGCAACTTTGACAAAATGAAGCTTTACTCCCCCTTTAAAACATCAATTTATTTATTATGTTAATCATTAGTTAAAGGCATTTTCAAGTTTGTAATAATTAAAGTGTTTTAAATTTTGTTTTTATAAAATCATTTTAAGAAGAGTTTTATTCTCTGAAAATTTTTATATTTTTAATTAAAGTGTTATTACTTACTAAACAATCACATTAAACAGATGACAGAAACCTTAAAAAGTTGTAAGTTATATGAGAAAAGGTAAAGATGGAAGAGAGTTCCAAAGGATTGAAGTGTGGGAAAAAAACTAGACAAATAAAGGTTTTTAGAGCATGCAGGGACAGATACAGTAAATGAATGAGACTTTCCTGAATGGGGAGTCTAGCGAGAATGAGTTTTAGTAGATAGTACAACAGATGATAGCTCCTTTGAGCAGCGACCTTGATAGTATATGTAGAAAAGAGAATGAGATGCAACTTTATGACAATGGGAAAGAAACTTAGCAGATAGAGCAGGTCCAACTATGTTTACAATGCATTTTTGGACCTTGTCTAGAAAAGAAAGAGCATCATTAGAAGAACCAGCCCAAATATGACAACAGTATTCTTTACTGCAAGGAATAAGAGATTTATAGAGGTAGAGAATGGAATCAGAAGTAATGGCAAGTAAATAGAATCAGTGATAATGGCAAGCACGATAAAAAGAAGCAGCCTTACCAGAGGGTCAGGGTTATAACATCAGTTTTTGCCATGTTTAATAACGTCTGTTTAACAATTTCTGAAAATACAATGAGATATATTAACATCTAACCAACAACAACTAAAAAGTTTCATTGGTATCTAATAACATATGTGCAAAAAATGAGTTACAGATGTAGTTACATCTTTTCAAATATCTAAGTACAACAATATCTGTACAACTATATCTGAAGATTTTACAGAACTATATTTGGAGATTTTACAGTTAAAGTTACATCTTTAAAATTATCTAACAATAACTGCATCTGATCAACTACATTTGTAGATTCTACAGATGTAGTTACATCTTAAATTATCAAGGTTAAATAACATCTTTGCAGCTGTATCTGTGGAAGTTTAATTACACCTTTGTTTGCTCTCCATCTGTGGGCTCTACAGATGGAGAGCAAAAAGTATATATATACTACTGTTTTATGATGGAATAAAATAAAAATAATGTTTTGTTTGATAATATTGCGAATGAAAAACAAGTTTATGCCTATACATCTTTTACATCAATAGAAATATTAAATAAAAAATTACTTGGATCTATTAACTTATTTACTTAGACATATGTATTTATTTTTTTTAAACTTTTTATCAGATATAATTAAACATCTAAAAAAGTTAACTTATAAATTATTAAATTAACCGAAATTCAATAAGATGTAATTACATTTGCAAATAATATTAACTAATAATGCATACTTTTACATATATACACAGGAATTTTCTCAGATCTCCAGTTTTTTCAGATGTCCATGTCAGATTCTCAGATTCACATCTGGAAAAAAGTATTAACTAATAATACACTACTTTAATCAGATGTTATTACATATAGGATTTTTTTCAGATGTAATTATATCTCAAAAAAAAATATTAACTAATAATGCATTATTTTAACCAGATGTAGTTATATATAGGAATTTTTTCATACGTAACTACATAAGGAGGAAATTTTTCCCGATCTTGTTGGACTTGTAGAAAAATTCCCAGATGAAGTTATATCTTCCTAAAGATGTTGTTAGGGATTTTTGAATTTCCAGATGATGTTGGACAGATGTTGTTGGAGTAAAAAAAAAAAAAATACAGAAAATCTTGAACAAAAGTGTACAGATAATCTTGGACTACTCCACAAATGTTGTTAGGCAGATGAAGTAATCTTTTCCCTTACTAAATGCTAACTTTGCAATTGATTGGTTTCCATAAGAGGTCAATAGTAAATGATGATGCAAGAAAATGTAAAAAAGAGGGTTCAGTAAGGTTTTATTTTAATCAAGTTGTTTTGTTGGATAAAGGAAGTTTACACAAAAGTTAGTAGCATTGATTTCATATTCCATCTTAACTAGATTCAATTGATTTTTTAACATGTTTGAGAAAAACTGCAAACAGCAACAGTATGAATATAAATATATGTTATATAAATATATATTTAAGATAAGTTATGAATTTATTAATCTTATAAATAGCATTGTTGAGTTCAAATCATTTTGTTTCTTTGTTGTTGTTGTTGCTTGAAATTATTTTTATAAGATGATATGGGAGTAGATTAGTGGTAGAACACTTGGCTACAATCAAACTACCACTCTCAACCTGTTTCTCTGCACACATGCCACAAACAGCAGTTGTGCGCAGAGAAAAAGGTTTTCAGATTTTTTTATTTGCAACAGTCTCTTCATCCTAAACTATGAAAATAAAACAAGTTTTATGTTTCATAGTTTAGGGTTGAGAGACTGTTGCAAATAAATAAAATTTGAGTCACAAAGGCAAAAAAAATTGCCTCTATGACTGCAGTGTTCATAGCTAGCATGTTAAGCTTTTTTTAAACTTAAAAAGTTAAAAAAAAAAAGTTTAAAAAATAAAAACAATTACTTTTTCTTTAAATTAATAGACTGCCTGCTCAAACCAAATAAAAAAACCCTTAGCCAATATTTTTACACTCCACTTATCAATAAAAAAATAAAGTAAATAAAATTATTCTGAATAAGTAAAAGAAAAATTACTGTAAAAGGGAAAAAAAATTAATCAAGTCAAGGTAGTTGCCTTTTCGGTATTTTTTAATAAACAGTAAAGTTAATTATTCTGCAATTAATTTTATTGTTTTTGCTTTAAGTGGTCTTATTTCAGTTAAAATATTAAGACAACACTAAAGCCATTTTTTACCATCTGAGTATAAATATGTAATTTTTTTTTACTTTGAGAGAGTGTGTGCGTCTGTATATATATATATATATATATATATATATATATATATATATATATATATATATATATATATATATATATATATATATATATATATATATATCTTGTATTATATATATATATATATATATAATATAATACAAGATATTTTTTTTTTTTTATGGTTTAAAGATAGTTGTGTTATTTAGGTACTTGAGAGAACGCATACTAAGCTTGATGAATTTCTCGAAGCATTTTTAAATGAACAAACAAATGGTGTACTGTATTGGCTACATATGCTTCACAAAATTTGTAAAGCATCGGAAGGTATTATTTGTTTTCAATTGTTAGAAATAAACTTGTATTGTAGTTAAAAGATGGTATACACCTTGTACAGAAAGTTTAAACGTACTTGTTTTTTTAACTTATATAATACTTTTAAGAAATAATAACCCGATAAATTAATGAGATATGCTCTGTATTTTTATGTTTATTCATACTATGGCTATAAGTTATTAGTTTAGATAGAAAAAAAATTGTATGGATATTATAACGGAGGTGGAGAGTGATGAGAAAATTAACGGAGCAATTAACTCCTTTCAATTTTTTGAAATAAAATTTAAACGCACTTTGATAAGAAAACGCGTAAAACTCTTTATTGAGAGATTTTTTATTGAAGTCTTTTACCTTTTTATAACTCAACAGCCTGTTAAGGTTAGTATATTTACATTTGGATTCTTATTCTTATTTTATTTTGAATAAAAACCACATATACAATTTGATTTAAAATTTTTAACTGATATAGCTTTGTCAAAATATCATATTTTATTGGGTAAAAAAGCTGTTTTGTCGAAAACAAAATGGCAAGTCATTGGAATGCATAAAATGAAAGTAAGCAATAGAGAAATTGGCAGACGCCTAAATATTTCTGAATTCAGCGTTCGTACAACAAAAAATTATTTACCAACTGGTAGTGTCAATGATAAACCTCGTACTGGGCGTCCGAAAAAACTGACAGCACGCGATGAAAACATGCCTCACATGCTAAGCAGACGTAACCCAAAAGCGGGAGTATCAACTTTAAGTGCAGAGGTCAATAGTTTGCTGGTAGACAAAACAGTTAGTCGAATGACTATAAGTAAGTTATTATGCAAGAAAGAATTAAATTCGTTTAATTGCATAAGAAAGCTTTTGTTGATGTTATCGGATTGCCAAAGACGAAAAAAATGGTGCAAAGAGCGTTTAAATTATTCAGTAGAACAATGGAAAATGATTATCTTTAGTGATGAATCAAATTTCGAAATTATTAACAGAAAAAACAAGAGATTTGTTCGTTGCAAAAATACAGAAAAATATTTGAAACAACACCTATTAAGCCGTATTCAAAAAGGTGGTGGTTCCGTCGGCATATGGGAATGTATATCAGGCTCAGGCGTTAGCTGTCATAAAATATACGAAGGAAGATTAAACCAGTATGAGTATCAGGACAGGAAAACGCGCTTATCCCTAGTCGCGATTTGTTCCAGGCTAATCAAAACTGATTATTTCAACAAGACAATGCTCCATGCCATACAGCGCATTCAATCACTGATTATTTCCTTAAAAGTAATATTCAACTTTTGCCTTGGCCAGCACGATCACCAGACTTAAACCCGATTGAAAATTTATGGAGCTGGATGGATTATCAACTAATAAAAAAGCAAATATCTTGTCACGAAATGCTCAAACAAGAACTGACCAAACTGTGGCTTGAAATACCAATCAAGATGATTGAAAACTTAATCGAATCAATGCCAAGGCGAATACAAGCATGTATTAAAAACAACGGGGGTCATATTCCGTATTAATATATTTCGATTAAAAGAAGTTGTAGGTGCGTTTAAACTTTATTGCACTTTCTTCTAAGTAATCTTTTGATTACTTGAGTTTGTTGTTTAATTTCAGAAAAGATTTTGTGTTTTTCTTATTCAAAGTTGTGTTTTTTTCTTAATTAATAATTGGCTAAGAATATTAAAAAAAAAAACCTGGACCCTGCCTCGTGTTTTCTCTTTGTATCACTTTAAACATACCTAAACTTTTAAAAAAACAAGTGCGTTTAAACTTTCTGTACAAGGTGTATATATAAAATATATATATATAATATATATATATATATATATATATATATATATATATATATATATATATATATATATATATATATATATATATATATATATATATATATATATATCTATATATATATATATGTATATAGGGTTACAGAAAAAAAACATTTTTTTGGAAAAAAACAACAAAAAAACCATGTTTTTTTGGTTTAAACTTTTTTTGGAAAAAAAAAAACATGTTTCATGTTTAGTCAACTTTTTCAATTGTTACTTATTTACTTGCTTTTTCAAAGTGTTACTTATTTTACTTAAGTAAATTATATTTTCTATTAACATTTCTGCTGTAACTCATCAACAAACACATCATCATTTAACATACTAATATAAAAACAAGCTTTGCGACTTTTTCCACTCCCATTTTTTTTTTTTAAACTTGGAATGAACAAGCCTAAAAGTTGAAAAAATCCTAGCACTTAAAGCTGGTGCATTTAATTCAATATAAATTCAAAGTTTCATAATGTTGCAGTCTAAAGATTTTAGAGATTTCCATTATTCTGTGATTTTTTAAAACAGATTTGCTATGCAAATAGATTTTTTCGAATGGAGCAGATTTGGCTTTCAATATGTGTATATTTGTATATATACATATATTCATATATATATATATATATATATATATATATATATATATATATATATATATATATATATATATATATATATATATATATATATATATATATATTTATCCTTATAGTGTAGTTGAAAGAGACTTTTATGGTAAAAAAAAGTCTCTTTTGACTACAATTTTTTTACCTTGTCTCTTAAGCTGCATTTTATTGTCGTCGAAATGTCAAAGCAATTAAATTAATGCGGAAGTACATTAAATTTTATTGTTTTTAAAAGTACTACAATAATAATGACTAGAAATTTTTTTTTTATTAGTGATGTTTTTGTTTTTGTTTTATTTAAAAACATTTTTAAAATATGCGTAAGTGTTGCTACATCAACTATCTTATAGCCTGCTGCTACAAGGGAGTGTTGCTACATCGACTATCTTATAGCCTGACTCGCAAGGAGTGCTGCTACATCGACTGAAAAAAAGCCTGACTCGCAAGAGAGTGCTGCTACATCGACTGACAAATAGCCTGACTTGCAAGGGAGTGCTGCTACATCGACTGACAAATAGCCTGACTCGCAAGGTAGTGCTGCTACATCAACTGAGGGTTTGGTTTGGGCAGGGAGTCTATCATTTGAAAAAAAAATTTTTTTTTTTTGAAGTTTTTTAACATTTTCTGGTCAGGCTTATTTACATGCCCTTTAAAACAACAGTTTTTGGGAAAAATTTTGTGACTACCATGCAAGACTATATATATATATATATATATATATATATATATATATATATATATATATATATATATATATATATATATATATATATATATATATATATATATATATATATATATATATATATATATATATATTCCACATTGATGTTTAAAATAATGTTTTATTAAAATTTATTTAAATGTTTCTGTTTTATTTCTTTATTGTTAGTTGAACACTTGATCCAATGCAAAGGTTGTGGAATAAAAAGTTTCTTAGGTCTTAGGTAACATTCAAAAATATATGTTTTTACATATTAATGTTAATAAAAATTTAATATTCTTTATCAGTTTGAACTTAGGTTATTTACTACACATATAGAATATCATTTTAATTTATTTATTTTGCAACAGTTAAATCAAGTTATTTAAGTATCTAGTTTGTTATAATTGTTATAAATATTGCTATATTGCTTAGTTACATAATAAATATTAAACATAAAATATTTTAATCTAGTTTATCTTTTTACTTCTTGTTTTTGTAAGTGCATAAAAATTTTTCAGATACAAGTGTCTACATTGCTACAACTATCATTTTTGCCAGGTATGTGTTTTCATTTTTTTTTTAAATGGATTGTCTGTAAACTACCTATTATATTTACTAAACTGAGTATGTGCTGAAACAGGAGCAAATAATCCTGGTATTTACTCCTGTTTCAGGTTATGACAGCTGTATTTTGGATTAAATCTATTATATATTATTGCCAAACTTAATAGTGTTAGTAGTGCGCTTTCAAGCCTGTTTGATACTTTACCTTTGACAGCCATTGCAAGCGAGGTAATGGCGAGAAAAAGTTGCAGCACTTTGTTTTATAAGAAAACATGAATTCCTACCATAGGTGGCTTTTTTTTTTTAATTTTTTTCGATGATTTTAAAAAACAAAATAATTGACAAGTTTCCTAAAAATTGTATAACAACATAAGTAACATAACAATATTATACAGTTTCACAAAAGAAAAGATTTTAAGAAAGCTAAAATTTCATGAAACCTATACAAAAAAAATACATCACCGGGAGAAAAAATTTGTTGCGTATATATGATGATTGAGACACTTATGTTATTAATGCGCTCAGATAATTAGTCCTAATAAGCTTTGGATGGTCTGAAAAAAAGTCGCCTGAAACTTAATAAATAAAAAACTATATTAAATAAATTAAAAAGTCCTGCTACTCAAGAAGGTGCTGCTGTGGAGGCAAAAAACAAAACAAAACAAAAAAAGCCCATAGCTAGAAAAAAATTTAAAACTTTCTTAGTAAAAATTTATTTAATAAAAAGCTTTTTTTGCTACATTTTTTTTTTTACTATAAATATATGCTGTTTTTCAAAACACCTTAGTATGCTTATTTCGTATTTCGAGAAAAATGCAATTGAAAAAAAAATTATTAAAATTTAACTCTTTGTTAAACGTTTTTTGAAACAAATAATTTTAATGAATTTTTCAGAACTCTTTGAAAATATTTATTCAATAACGTTTGTAGACATATAAACTAGCTTATTTTGTAAAAAAGTCAAAAATAATAATTTTAACCTTTGGGCATTTTGAAAAACGGCTGCAGTATGGATGATACAATGAATGTGTTAAAATGAGATAATTTAACGCAAAATTTAAAAATTCTTAACAAAAGTCACTAAACCAAAAAGATTAAAAATAATTTCTTAAAAATTTTATTAGTGAAAATTTATATTTTAGTGAATATAGTAATTGTAGTTAAAAATTTTATTATAGCACTTAAAAATTTTATTATAGTGCGTTGTTTTTTGCAAAGAAACACTATATAAATCATTTTTTAATTTTAATATAAACTAATTTTTTTTTTAACTTTGTTACGCTTAACCATCTCTATATAAACAGTGTATATATAAACATATATGCTATTTTATATATATATATTTTAAAATGTAAAAAATCCACTTATATAACATTTTATTTAGGATTGTATGTAATATAAGTAAACTATAATTATAATAAAAAGTCTTTTTTGCTCAAGCTGTTTTGTTTTGATTTTTTGTAATTTTGTTATTATATTTAAAAAAATTGACAAGATTAAAAAAACACGAAGCAGATCGTGTCACTTCCGAGTGGAAAATTTGAAGCTATATTTTTGCTACTCTCTCAATAATTTCTGATTTCTAAAGTTATGTCATCTGCTTCTTAGACCTTTAAAAATGATAGTTATAAAAATAAAATGGGGAAGGGGGTCAAAAAATGACTAAAATATGATGTCGTCCTTTATAGCCTTGTTGGCCCCAAAACTATTTATTTATTACTGATGTAATAAATACTATATCTTATCCATGAAAATGATATATCTGTACCAGTTTTATATATTTTAATGCATTTGTATGCAACATACTAAAAATTAATAAAAAAATGTAAGATAAATGCAAAAGGAAACTTGACGCATAAAGGTTTACATGGCCACAAACTGACATCAATGCCCAAAATAATACTCTGTCATCAGTGTTGTTTTCCACATATGTAGAGCTAATAAGAGGCTTCATAATACTCTGTCATCAGTGTTGTTTTGGAGGGTTTAAGGCCTCCTCTTGGCGTAATAAATTTTGAAATTTTTTACGCCAAGTTAAGCCAAATTTTTCTTTTTGGCTTAACTTTTAGATAAGCGTTTAAAATTATTCTTTTAATTCTTAATCATAAGAATTAATTTTTTTTTTTAATGACTTTGGTTAAGTGCTCTTAGATCTTCTTAATTTCATATGTATAACATTACGCACAAATTTATGTACTTGTAAACGTCTTTATGTAGAGTTTGCAGGCATTTTATGGAATAATCGTGTATATCTATATATCTAGAAAATGAGAAAACTTGAAAATTTTATTTTAAATTTTTGAAATCTTTTTTTCTATATTCTTATTTTTTTGCTATAAATATATAAGCAAGATTGAAAAAATTTCAAAATTTATTACGCCAAGAGGAGGCCTTAAACCCTCCAAAACAACACTGATGACAGAGTATTATGAAGCCTCTTATTAGCTCTACATATGTGGAAAACAACACTGATGACAGAGTATTATGAAGCCTCTTATTAGCTCTGTGGAAAAGGTGCGCTTGTTTTTACTTTGAAATTTTTTTTTCAGAATAAATTATTTTAATAAAAAATATTGAAGTAAATAAGGAATATGTATAGGAATTTTTGGCTAGAAATAGATATGTAAATTGGTAATGACCTGTATTTTACAGATCCGGAAAGCTAGGATATATAAGGACAAAGTATAGAAAAGTTTGGTTTGGAATAGATATATAAAGGTCCGCATTTTTATGGAGTCAATCTTAGCTATTATATAATATTTACTCTTAGTTAAATTCAAGTCCTTTTCTTTTTTAATCAAATACTTGAATTGATTTAAACTTTGTGCATTGATTGTAGAGTTAAACTTGTTCCAAATTGCTACAACGCGGTTTGTAATGAAATTTTAAACTTTTTGTATAAGCAAAAATTTCATATTTTTAAGCATACCTCTTTCAAAATATGCTTGTGAAAAAAAAAGATGAAAATATTGAGTAGCCTCTCCATGGCTGTAGTGTTGATCGTGACTGTTTTAATGTCACTTGTGACTCCCATAGTATCATAGTGACACTGTCAAGTTTTTACCATACATGGTAACCTATTCCTATGTTTTATTTTTATTAAATACAAAAAGCATTTATTTATTCTTATACTATAGTTTTATTATCAATTAAAATAATTATTACAATCACATTGCAATGTCATCGCAATGCATCACAAATGGTGGATCCTTTTTGGGAGGAGATAAAAAAATCAAAATAAATCTATTAGTTAAATTGAGCAAAAATAAAAAACAGGAAAAATAATTTTTTTTTTTTTTGGAAAAACAACTGAAGTGAAAATTTCAAAAGAAAAAAAGTAATTAAAACATTTAAAATTGAATATATAAAATACAATAAGAATGTGAAGAAAAATAACAAATAACTATTGAACTTTATAGAAATAATAAAAGACATTAAATAACAAAGGAAGAGAACGATTTTTTTGTATTTTTTAATTATTTGTTGTTGTTATTTATTTCTTGTTTCTTTATTTATTTTTGTTTTTGTTTTGAAGTGTCCTAATTTTATAGTTGTTTTTTTTATTTAGTTTGTACTATTTTATTTAAATTCATGCTTGTCTAATAATAGTTAACTAACTATTATTAGACAAGCATGAATTTGGTTTATTTTATCATGTGGGTATTCAAGTGTTTCTTTTTATTAATTGTATCTTTTTATTAATTGTATCTTTTTTTATGTCTTTTTATTTGTTTTAAACTCTTTTGAACTTTTTACAGCTGTTTTTGTGTGCTATGATTTTATTTGTTACATATTTGTTTAAATCCTTTGTTGACATTTTATAATTATCATAATAAATTTACTTTTATAACCAGTTTTTAGCTGTTTGTAACTTTCTTTTGTTACTTTGTGTATAAAACTTTGTGTTTATAAAAGCTTTTTATAAAATTATTATTACTAATTCTTATTATTAATATAGTTACTATTATAATAGTTATTTTTATTGTTATTATTATTGATATTATTTATATTTTTATAAAAGTTATTTTTATTTTTTTATTATTGATATTATTTGTTATTGTTGCATGTTGTAAACTCTATTATTGTTATTTTTTATTGTGAATGTAAGCATAATATTGTGTATTATTTTTATTATTAACATTAGTAGGTGTATTTTATATTTTAATCATTTTAATTTTTTAATCATTTTAATTTACACGCTTTCATTTATTAATATTGTAATATTTTTTTTTTAACTATAAGTGACACCTAACCTGATTTTGTAAAAATTATAATAAAATTTGTAATTTTTTGGTTAAATAAATGGATTATTATTATAATACAATTCAATTCTTTCGAGTTTGAGTTCAAAAAAAATTTTTTTTCTAATTTTCTTAAAAAAAAAAAAAAATTAATTTATTGCACAAAAAGGTGTAATCCATACTTTAATATTTAAAAGTATAGATAGTGGCATGCTGAATCCTAACATCCCATCCGGGATTAATCTAAAAAGGCCCATTTATGTTGGATTTTTTTAAATATGCATGATTTGATGCCTCATAAATATTTAGACGCTACATTTTTAACAACATGTAACTTAGAGTAAACTAATTTAGCATTAATTAGCATAATAAATTAAGAATAATAATAATAAATTATAGTAGCATAAATAATTAGCATTGCATTATATAAAGTGCTGATTTTTATCAGCATTAACATAATTTATTAAAAGTGTGCTAATGATAGATTTAAAATGAAGATTGAATGTTTAGGAAAAGGTAGAAAAATCAATAATTTTTGAAAATGTATAAAAATCAATGGATAATTTTAATTACCAGATTTTTAAATTTTTAATTTAAAAATCTGGCAATTAAAATTCAATTTTTAAAACAATATTTTGTGTTTTTGTATTTTATAATGCAAAGTAACTGAACAATATATAATCCAGGAGCTAAGTAAATACTTTTATAAATACTAATAAATTTTTATTTGAAAAAAAATGTGCCTAATAACTTGTAAAAATAATAGTTGTAAAACTTAATAATAGTTACATTTTTTTTTCCAAAGATAGATTTAATACTAAAATTTTTCAGAAAAGTAGTTTTTTTTTATCATTTTTCATCATATTGAAAGTAGTTGGACCACATAAAAAGGTCAGAAAGTTTGGAAACTTAAGACTTTAGCATCATTTCAATTTCATGGATACATAGCAATTAAATAATCAGGTCCTAGGGGAAATAAGTAATAATAAAATTTAGAGCTAAATGGTTTTAATGATAGAATGTTTTAATTGAAATAAGTATTTAATTTTATGAACAATATTTTTTTAATGCTTAAAAATCAGCGCTTGTGATTTCTTTTGATTAAATAATTTCAGGATCTAAAATTCCTATCTCACCATCACAATGTCCTAATTTACCCATTGATGCAGTTTTTTCAATTTATAACAATTGTTTAAAGCAATTTATGTGACGTAATATTAAACATTTTTTAGAATTTTTTTTTAGGCTTATGTTAGATAATGTTTGCATTTTATTATAAAAAATACCAATATATGAACGTTTAAAGATTAACACTTTAAATCAGATAAGTAAAGAATTTAGTTTGAGAAAATATAAATAAATTGAATAAAAAATTATTTGTTAAATATTTAAAAATCATTGTAAAATACTTTCTTTTTTTTCTAAATAGTCCTTCCAGGATAAAAAGCTTAAGGCCCATACTGGATTCCCACATAGCCTTTAGGATAGAGATCCATGTCTATTTTTTTGGCACCAAAATTTGTCAGTATTTTTTCCAAGCTTTACCTTTTTACTTTCTAAGCTTAGACTTTGTTAAATTTTCTCTAAATTCATAGTTTGTTTTCTGTAAATTGTTATGAATCAGGTCAGGCTCAGGATAGTCATGGTCATCCTGCTACTGGTAACATGTAATCCAGTATATCCTGTCCCATGTCTTGCTGCCTTATACGATTCACTTTTTTTTTTAAGCAAAGATTAAGAGAAGTTAACTGTAACTTTAAATACCTATGCTTTGGGGCTCTTGGTTGAGTATTTGCCAAGCTTAAGTCTTTGTCCCATCATTGTAAGATTGCATTTCTTTTTCTTTTCTACAAATACTAGAATGATGGCTGTTCAAACAAGCTTGTTCTATCGACAAAAATTCAATCTCACATGACTCATTGTTCAGCAAAGTAGCATCTGTCCCTACATGCTCTAAAAACTTTTATTCATCTAGTTTTTTTTTGTCACACGTCAATACTTAAGAACTCACTCTCTCTATGTTTTCTTAAAGCATTCATTCAGATCTGTTCTTAAACGATATTCTTTATTTTCTCATAATTAAAGTGGTTGCTTGTAGCAACCTATTTAAGTTGTAGCTTAATTTTTAAAAAAAAAGTAAAAAAACTTTTATTTTGGCAGTAAAAAAATTGTAATAAAGTCCAGAGGCTTAGAGAATAATATGGGTGGGACATTAAATGCTGTTATTTAATACCTAACAATAATATAGATGTTTTAAAATATGAAACAATTTTTTGAAAGAAAGAATGTGTCAACATAATTTAAGTGTTTATTTTAAAATCTGTTAATTATTTTTAAAATTATAATTTAAAAAATATTTCAAAATTTTGGATAAATGGTTCATTATTAATGTTTTTTTTTATTTTTTATTGATTTTTATAAATAATTTATATAAATTGTTTAAATCAATCTAGGATTGTTTTTGGAGAGAAAAGGTATCTGGCGGTCATAAAAGAGATCACGACATGAGAGAGTATACCACATGGGTAAAAATAAATTTTATTTCTTTTTATTTAAACTTTTAATTTTTTTTATTATAATGTTATTTTTTATACATTAGTCTATTTCTAAATCTACACCTACAACACCACTGCTACCAAAAAATATTTTCTTTAGAATAAAAGTGATAAAGGTTCAACAGTTCGTAATAAACTACTTTGTTCACCATCTCCTACTTCGCCTCGATTGCCTGACTATCCCAAAGAACCAGAACCAAATAAAATGCTTGACATGAGTAACATTGTGTATGTTTTAATTAGATTTATTATTATTACTTTAGAAGTTTTTCAAATAATGTCTTCATGATTTTACACACGCTATAATTATAAAATATAAATAATATATAACAAGCTATAGTTTATACCAGTGTAATATATACTAAGGGGTTAACCTGGTTATAACTATAAAATATTAAAATTTTTTTATGTTTTTTTTATTTTATAATTATTATGTTTTTTAATAGGCCTCCTCTACCTTGTGAACCTTGTTCACCAAGTTCTACATTACCTCGCTCACCAAAAGTAAGGAACAGTGAAAGTCAGCATTCAACATTGTCAAAAGGAAGTTCCAATTTTTCAGCATTTCTAGACCGGTAAATAAAGTATAAAATATTCTTTAAAGTTTTTATCTTTTCATACAAATTACAGGAACATCAATTATAAATATATATATATATATATATATATATATATATATATATATATATATATATATATATATATATATATATATATATATATATATATATATATATTCTTATAGGTATATGTATATATATATATATATATATATATATATATATTTATATATATATATATATATATATATATATATATATATATATATATATATATATATATATATATATATATATATATATATATATATATATATATATATATATATGTAATTTTATATTGTAAATTTAAAAGTATGAGGAATGATGGAATTACTATGACCCTTATAATTTTGGTCATGGTAAATCTATTTAACACCTACCATTTCTTTATTTATTTTTTATACAATTGTTTTTTTTTTTCAATAATTTTTAGGAAGTGGTAGAAATAAAAAAATTGTCAATACTTTATAGCTTCAAATTGTAAAATTGTTAACTTCAATAAAAAAAAAACAAACTGGAAGGACCTATTAATTTTTCTTTATTAAGTTTTTAATAAATTTTTTGTCAGACCATTCACAACTTATTAGGGCCCTCGCCCCATTAAATAATTTTAAAGAAAATAAAAATTTGATGTAACATCTTTTTTCCCATTAAAATGAAATTTGTCTCTTTAACCTGCGTTAAATGCCCAGACTTAACTCTTACCCATGCACATTACCTTACCCTTACCACACCATTACCTATAACAAAAGTCTATATCTCTCCTGTGGCATGTGCAAATAATTTCCCCCACTCTTTTGATGTTTATAGAAATTTAAAGCTTTTTAAAAGTTTCTCTCCTTTTTGCTTGTAATAGTTTATAATTTCTTTATATATGTTTATATTTTATAATATCAATAGAACTTCAAAAATTTATTTTTCTCTATTTTAAAAGATTGAAAATGATTTAAAAAAAAATTATAATCATGCAAGCAACAGGATTCAAACTCCCATGTTGTACTTTCAAAGTGCAACAAGCTAACCACTTCAGCCACCAAAGCTAACTAATTTAGTAATTTTAAACACTATTTAATAAACAAAAGACGACAGAATGCTATAAAATAAAATTAAGAAATATTGTAAAATACAATTTTCAGTTAAAGGTAAAACTGTAAAACTTTTAATTTTTAACAATATATAATTTGAAGTTTACATAAGTTAAACATTTGCATGCACTTTTGTTCATATTTTCTTATAAAAAAAAAATTAAGCAACTCTTTCTCACCATTAACACGAGTGTAAAAGCTCCAGTGAGTTCAATTTCTAACATTCATAAATTAGCTTTTATAAGTTAATCAATATTATATATTTAAGTAGTTGAGACAATTCCTACAAAAAATTGGCAATTTACTTGTAAATTTTTGCAATTAAAAAATATTTACTGGTAAATTTCCTCGAAGGAAAATTAACCATTTACTGGTAAACTGGTATTATAATCTCCTCTTTGGTATTACAATCTCTACTTTGCAGATATCTGATTAGTCTTAATCTTCGTATATATTATGTGTATTTTATTATAATTATAACAGATATTGTTTTATTTTTAGACAAGATGAAGAACATTCACTGATAAAAATGTATGCCCAAAGGTAAAATTAATTAAGTTGTTTTGATTACTTGTATTTGTTACTTGTATTGCATTCAGCTTGTATTAAACTTTGTTACTTGCATTAAACTGTCTTTTAAATATAGGAAGAACTTGAAAACTTTATTTTCCTTTTTTTTAAACTTTATTTTTTTGTTATTTTTTTAAATTCAATTATGTGCATAATAACTTCGATTTTTACTTCAGAAAAGTGAAACATTTTTCAGATTGGATTTTAGATTTTACTGCATAAAAAATATTACTTTTAATTTAAAAATCTAAAAAGCTTTAAAAAAACTTTTACAAATTTTTTTGAAAAAAAGAATATTATTATTTTCAATACACGATTCTCTGAATACAAATAAATGCCTGCGCACGCATGTGAATTGACATGCGCAAGTCTAGCGGAGGTAAACAAAGATTTGTTTTACTTAAAGTTCCAAGAGATAGTAAGAAAAAAAGGGAAATGTCAACTCATTGTGCAGTAAAAGATTATAAAAATGGTCAATATAAACTTATAAAGTCGAGAGAAGAACTTTGTGAAGTTCATGGAACAAGGAGAGAAGAAGCAAACTGTAATTGTACAGAACCTTTCAGGTATAGTTTAACTAGGCCACTTTTTACATAATTTGGCTTAGGCAGACTATAACTTTATTTATTATTAAACAAAACAAATATTTTTAAATTAAAATTGTAATCATTAGTTTATATTATTAATCAACTAATGCTTTTCATAATAAATAAAAAAGTTTTTTTAGTCTTCATCCTTTTCCTGGCAGACAGAAAAAACCTTTAAAAAAAGAAAAGTTTGGAAACTAAATAGAGAGAAAGATAAAAACTATATAGTCTTTGTGCATAAAAAATGAATAATTTGTTTTCAACCTTTCTAATATCGAGAAAGATGAAAATAAAGCTGATAAATAAATTTATAAAAAAGCTTTTATTTACCTATACACTAATGTTTAGTAATCACCTTCATAAGGTTTTTTTCTCAAGCTCAAAAATACTCTCAGGGCTTTAACAGGCATATTTTTAAAATCCTGTAAAGTCATTTGATTTAAAAATGTTGTATCTTCGATATTCATATCTGAAAACCTGTATATTATATATTTAAAATATGCCTTTAGTTTAATCACTTTGGTTTGTTTACCTCCGCTAGACTTGGGCATGTCAATTGAAATGCGTGCACAGACATTTATTTGTATTCAGAGAATCGTGTATTATTATTTTTATATTGTTCCACTTAATTTGAGACCCAGGTTAACCTTTTTTTAATCAACTTTTAAGGTAGGAATTAAATAATTGTGGGAGGTAAAGTAAATAGGAAATAAGCGATTGTGAATTGCAATGTTTCAAAGGCATACAGTGATCTTGAAAATTGTTTAAAGCTATCATGATTGTTTTCTTATTCCAGTGTAAAAATTTTGAAAAAAAATAAGTTCTTAAAAATATCTTCAAAACTTTCCTAATTTTTTAAATAATTTTTTCATTCAAAACTTTCAATGAAAGTTTCAAGTTCTTTCAAAAATTTCTTCAATTAAAACATTCTAACAATCATTTCTTTAAGTAATTATATTTCATTTTATTACTTTTTATGTTTCATACTCTTTCCAGTTTCCAGCTAATAAAATGTAAATTAGTTTGTATCATTTAAAAAATAAACCTTGACATTGCAAAATTGTTGATTTTAACATTGCAAAATGAGATTCCAATTTAAAATCATTTTGAATGCATTGAAAAAGTATTTTAACTGTTAAGAAATTCCTATTTTACAAAAATAACTTAATTAAATTTTTTTTAAAACACTGATATTTAAAAAAGTTTTCAAAAAATGGGTGAAGTAGATTGCGACTCACTCCAGAAGAAATTCATTCTAGTTTACTAATTGGCCAAATCGAACACCCATTTTCTGATTTTCCTGATTTACTGGAATATAGCAAAAATGGTGTTAAAATTTTGGTAGTAGTTATGCCACTATGTATTATAATATGTGTTTTTAAAGTATCAAAAAGATAGTAGTGTGGGTTTTATTTTTTTTTATTTTTTTTACTTTTATTTTGATAAAACCAAAATAAATTTTTTACATAAAAAGTGAGGTTTTTCGTAAAAAGCAAAGAAAAAATAATCCATTGATATGAACTTACAAAAAATAAAAAATTGTTTTCAAGATAAAAAATTGGCTAATAAATTCAATGCTATAAACAAACCTGGAAATTTTTTTTTTAGATTAAAAAAAATGCGTTTTTCCAAATAATAACTTTAGATAGACAAATTGTCAGACAGAGCCTATTTTAAAAAAAGTGCAACTTTTTCAAAAACTAATTATCATCAGCAAGAAATGCTTGTTTTAAAAGTACACACATTTTTATGCAGTTTTAAAGTTGATTGAAGTTGATTAATTTACTTTTACTTACTTCCTTATTTTTGGCATGTAACAATAAATATTTTAATATTGTATTTTTATTACCTGGATTACTTGCTTTTTCATACAAGTAATATTTGAAAGATGTTAATTATAAGAGGCTCAGAAAACATTACTATATTTTATGCAGTAAGTTGGTTAATTTTTTAAAAAAAATTTGGCTATCTAATAAATTTGAGTTAATTTGTCCCTTGCCTTTTTTTTTTAATACTAATGTTCCACAGTTTTGACCCTAAAAATATTTTTTATTCAAAAGACTTTTGAATATAGTGCTGATTTTTATATATTAAAATTAAAATTATTTATATATTAAAATTATATTATATATCTTTTTATAAATGGAGTGGGTGTAAAAATTAGGCACTGGTGTTATTGCAATACAATTATGCGGTAAATTTTGATTGTGATTTTTTAGATAAGGAATCATGGGTGATTTATTATTTACAGTTGCAATATTTAGTTAGGAATTTGCAATGTGGTTTTTTGTGATTTCAATTAGGCTGCTAACGATTTATTATGAGCCAATTATTATTTAAAAAAATTGCATGCCATTAATTGCAATTTTTTATCACTTTTTATTGCATTGTCAAAAAAATCACTTTTGGGCTAACCACCAGTGCTTATTAAAGAATATCCAAGGTTAAAGAAGTTTGAAAAGTTTGAGAAGGGTTTTAGTAAAGAATAGCTTATCCAAGGTTGAAGAAGTTTAAGAAGTTTAAGAAGGGTTTTAGTTAAATAGTAAAACAAGTCAAAATTCAAATTAAGGGATTTTTTTTGAAAATTATTAGTTTTGATATCATTGTATGATTGATTGGAAATTTAAAAAATATATATATATAAAAATATAATATAGATATTTATATTTTACTTCGGTATGGTATTTAAAAACTGTAATTTACTTTTTTGCATTTTTTTTTAACTTCATTGCATTCTGTCAAAATTCTTATTTCTCTTTCTCAAAGTTTTTTTTAACATTTTTTATATTGTAATATATTCTTTCATAGAATAACATGATGACTTTTTGTTTTAATGACTTCAATATTATGTCAGTCTAACTTTTTAGTTTAAAGTATGTTTAAATATATATATATATATATATATATATATATATATATATATATATATATATATATATATATATATATATATATATATATATACACATATATATGTATATATATATATATATATATATATATATATATATATATATATATATATATATATATATATATATATATATATATATACACACTTACATATATTGCAATATTAAATCTACGTAGTTTTACATCTTTACAAAATGTAACTTATTTTTATATCTTTGTTTAGACTTGCAGCGTGTGCTCTCAATAACAATGTAATTTTAAATTAATTTTATTCAAGTTATTTAAATTTTTTTTATTTGTTTTTGTTTAATTTTTATTTGATATTTAAGGTGTTTTTTATATATTTCTTGCATATCACTTGTATTTATTTATAATTACTTTTATAGATTTTTATTTTAATTTTTTATTTATCTTATTTTTTATTTAAAAATTATTTTATTGTAATCATTTTTGTTTTTTATACTTGAGCTTCATTTTCACCGTGGGACTGTTCCACACAAAATGGTGGCCAAAAATATTCTCTCAATATATGCACAAAGCTAATATAATTTCAAAAAAATACATATATTAGAAAAATAATTATGCCTAAAGTTTCATGCAATTTTAACCTGTAGTTTCAGAACATAGATGCCCATAGGACTTTTTCAAGAAGGGACTGAAGGAGCATGTAGCATGTATTTTTCAAGGAGGGACTGAAGGAGTATGAACCATGTATTTTTCAAGGAGGGACTGAACGGGCATGTACCATGCATTTTTAAAGGAGGGACTTAAGGAGCAAGAAGGGACTAAAGGAACATGTGCCATAATATTTCCTAAAAATAGTGATAATTTATTAAAACTTAAAATTTAAAAAATTTAAATTTAAAGTCAATAAAAATTATTTGTGAAAAATAAAAATAATAATAACTAGACAAAACCTAGAGGGAGGTCATTTACCAATCTATATTAAATATTAAATATTATTAGATATATTAAATATTAGGTATTAGTTAAAGTAATTTACTATGCATTTTTTTTAAATATTAGAGGCATTGAAGTTTACAAATAACTGTTATTTTTATTATTATTTAAGTCAAAAAGAAGAAAGAAAAATTTTCTGAAAAAGTTTTTTTTTTTTTTTAATTTATTTCATTTTCCTTAAGCAAAATTGAAAAGCGAGCTAAAGATCAAAAGTTCATTCATTCAAAAATTAAATTTTGTATGATATTGAATCTCTTAAAAAAAAAAAAAAAAAACTCAACTCTTCTTTTGACAACAAGCAAAAGTTAACATTATCTTAACAAATATTTTAAAATCATTTCATCTTTAAATAAATAAGTTTTATAATAAGATTTCATTCATTTTTTAAATATTATTTTCAGTTAGTTACAGAACTACAGTTTTAAACAAAAAGATAAAAACAAACAAATAATATTTTTTTAAGTGGGTTTTTTTGGCACCCATACTGCTCCAGTGGTATCAAAACAGATAGCGATACCCTGCTAAAGTGAAATTATAATTGGATCTAATGAGTTCATTGTACATGTAAATACATCAAATGCATCATCTTCTGTTGAGGTCTTGGGAGCATGATGTAACCAGGAGCTATTCTAAATTGTTTTTTGGCAGCGCTGACCGTACTTGGGTGCTGATTTGGGTGCTGCCCAAATTAAAAAATGAAGATCTTTTTTTTTTATATATATTTTTTACAGCAAATATAGTTTAATATTTCTGCTAAATTTCTTTCCAAGAATAGCCCCTGGTAACCAATATCTTTTAGTGATTTTGTTGCATTTTTGTGCTTCTTTACCTAATTTCTCCTCCACATACTGTTTAATGGACTGTTGCAGGAATTCGGGTTACTCCATGTCAAGTCAAAAAAAAAAAGCAATAAAATGGCACTTCATATTTGGGATTTTGCTGATTTTTACATATGTTACAGGGTTTATGAAAACTAAAAAAATCTGAAAGTTGGAATCTCCAACAGTTTTCAAGATATTTTAGTTTCAATTTTTTTATCAATATTATACTTATTATGCATTTATAGCGACTTACTTTTTTGTATTTAAAAAGTAATATTTAATGAATGAAGTACCTGAAATTTGGTACATAGACAAACCTATCTTTCACATTGTGGGTTTAGTAATTAATTATATTAATTTACTAACTAATTTCTTAGACAATGATTTATTTATTGTATTAAAATTTTATCAAGTTGCATTTTCACGATAGTGAGACACTTTCAAAGTTGCGTATCTTTTTTCAGGGCAGCTTGGAGCAGCCCTCTTTTTTTTCTTTTGCAATTATATAAGGACATAATGCACTTTAATTTTTTGCAGTTTTTCCGGGTCAATCGAAAATGAATTTTGATGTTTTTGTAACAATATTTTTTATTGAATGGATGATTTTCAAAATTTAAAAGGGTTTATTAAAATTATTTTAATTGTCATTTAAAAGTAAATTTGATTAATCTTCAAACAAGATAAATAACCCTCTCTTTACTTTATTTTATCACTTTATGTATCAAAAAAACATATCAAATAAACATCTTCAATGAGGCAATACCATTTTTTTTATATTTAAACACGTAACCTTGAATAACAATATGTTTTGAACTGCATATCACTTACACTATAGATAGGAATTTTCTTATCTATAGTGTAAGCTTTTAATCTTCCTTGTTTTATCCAAATTGAAGCCATTATCTTTTAATTTTTGGCCACTCTGCGTCCTATTGTGATTTTGTTGTTTTATATCACACTTTTTTCAAGCAATATTTTTCAAATTCTAAGTTTTTGACAATTTTTTTTTTTTAATTTGAGTTGAAAAAAAAATCATTTCAGCCATATATTATTTTTAATTTCTTCTATTATTTTTTCAAAACATCTAAAAATTAAAAAGAAAAAAAATACCAATAGAGGACTTTTTTATTTGTTTTATTCATTGAAAAAAATGCAGTAAAGTCCAATATTTTATATATATTATGGTTCAAAAATTAACAAATAAATCACATATTTTTCTTGATTATTTTTCATATTTAATGAGAATTTTGCTTTTTTCTTATATAAGTATGACATTTTGGAAAAGCTGAAACAATTTATTACATGCACTTCCTGGCATAAACCTGTTTTTCAAAACAGGAAAGTATTTTTATTGTGGATTTAATCATCTAAGGGTTATGACCTCCTCATCTCCTTGCTCACAATTAAATTTGGAGTTCTATATCAGAGTTTTTTTTCTACTAGGTAAGTTAGACCTTTACCAAGGCAATTTTTCTACTAGCTAAGTTAAAGATCAATTAAGTGTCAAAACCAGTAAGGTTTGCTGGCTGGTTAACCAGCTTTACTGAGTTAATTGATAAAATTTATTTAGTTTAAAATATTTTCTAAGAATTTGATTCATTTCAGAGTTTGCAGACCGAAAGTCGTAGTTTACCACTTAATACTTCTGCTGAACAAAAATTGATTATTACTTCTTTAGAAGAAAAAAATAAGTATGTATCAAATATTTTGTATTTTTTTTGTCTTTTTTGTTGTTGTTATTGTTTAGTAAATAAAACATTTGCTTGCATATTAGAACTCATCTTGAGATGTTGGTTAAACAAACATTTCAATTATATATATATATATATATATATATATATATATATATATATATATATATATATATATATATATATATATATATATATATATATATATATATATAAATTGTGATGGTACATATGGTGTTGTTGTTGTGGTACATGTGGTGTTGTTGTTATTTCTAGATTTCTCCTTCATCAAATCAATCAGCTAAAAGCAGAACACGAAGAAACAATTAACAATGCTCAACAACTAGGTTGTGATCCAAATCTTCTAACAGAACTTCGTGTGCTGAGGCTCAGAAAAGATGAGTTGGAGATGCGAATGTCTGCACTTCAAGAAACACGTCGTGAGTTGATGGTGCAATTGGAAGGTTTAATGAAACTGTTAAAGGTATATGTTTTAAAAAAACAAAGCTAGTATACTTGTTAAAGTAGTTTATTGTATGTAATATGTTTGTTATTAATTTTTATAATCAATATATTGATTGCATCATGCACACAAGTTGTTTGTGCAAAATTAAAAATAAAATTTACAGCAGAGGATTTTTAAAGTTTAACATTAATTTGTTGTTTGTTTTATGAATTCCAACACCAATTTAAATACATTATCATAATCGCTGATAATTTGACAACCTTATGAAAACTATGAAAAAAACTTTTTTTTATACTTATCCTAAAATAAAAAATTGTTCTGTGCACAATACCATCAATAGATTAACTAATGATCTCCTATGTTGTAATCATCACTAATCCTTAATCCTTACATCAATAATCCTTTGATATACACCACTAATACTTGTTGTCATATACACCACAAATACTTGTTGTAATATACACAACTAATACTTGTTGTAGTATTTACCACAAATACATGTAATATACACCTCTAATATTAGTTGTAGTATTTACTACAAATACTTGATGTAATATACACCACAAATACTTGTTGAAGTATTCACCACAAATACTTGTTGTAATATACACCACTAATACTTGTTGTAGTATTCACCACAAATACTTGCTGTAATCTACACCACTAATACTTGTTGTAGTATTTACCACAAATACTTGTTGTAATATACACCAGTAATACTTGTTGTAGTATTTACCACTAATACTTGTTGTAGTATTCACCACAAATACTTGCTGTAATCTACACCACTAATACTTGTTATAGTATTTACCACAAATACTTGTTGTAATATACACCAGTAATACTTGTTGTAGTATTTACCACTAATAGTTGTTATAATATACACCACTAATATTTTTTTAAATATACACCATTAATACTTTTTTTAATATACACCATTAATTTTTGTTTTAATATAATCTATTTTAACATTGTAATTTCATTTACATTAAACTAATGTGTTTGTTTACAATGTAAAAAAAAAAAAACTGTAATCAACTATTTGTCTTTGAAAAAATTTTCTTAACATTTTTATTAAGAAAAAAAAAAATTTTGTGTCAAACTTTCAATTTATACTTACTAAAGTAAAGTAAAACATTTCAATATGAGTTACTATTTCCTGGTATTATATATTTTTTTAAATGTTATAAGTAAAATTTGATAAAGAAAAATACTAGTTATATAAAGAGAGCTAATTAAAAGTTATTAAAAATAAATTTCTGAACATAAATGGTTAGTGGCGTAGCCATACATCAAGAATTGTGTTACGTAAAGACAGACTGCCAATTGTTTGACATCAATTGTTTATCTATCCAAGCATATTTGTTCTTGTAATTAAACTTAAATTTGGTGATCGGGCAAGTTAGTATCTTCAACTTTTTTTTATTTTATTTTTTGTTGAGTTTTCTAACTTAAAGTATTGTCTTGCATGAAAATTTTTTTGTTAGTTTTGTGACAAGAAGTATTGTCTTGCATGAAAAAATAATTATTTTTGTTGAGTTTTATGATAAGAAGAATTGTCTTGCATAAAAAATTAATTTTCGAATCAATAGTAAAACTTTGATATGTTGAAAAAATAATATTCTATTTCCATTTTCACTTCCAACAAGGCTGCAAGCTACCATTATAAGAGTTGGAAGTTAATGGAAGAGAAAAGATGAAGATTGTAGAGCAAGATAATGATTGACAGGTGACTTGAGCATAAGAGATGCTAGCTCTTTAGAGCAGTGCTCGTTTTAGTATTTAAAGAAAAGAGAAAGAGAAGCAACATTATGGTGTGATAATGGTTGGAGGATGGCTGCAAAAGCAGATCGGACTATGTTTAAAATGTGTTTTTGCACCTAGTCTAAAAGAGAAAGGACATCATTGGAAGATCTGCCCCAGCTATGGCAACAGTGTTCCATACGCCGGATTTGAGATTTATAGAGATGAAGAATAGGATGTGGAGTAAAAAAAGTTTTATGCACAATAAAGAGATGCAACCTTAGCAAATGCTAATTTTGTAATGGATTTGAGATATGGTTTCCAAAAAAGAAGTAAGAGTTAATCCTAGAAGATGAGGGGTAGGTGATACATCTAATACAATACCATTAATAAATAAAGGAAAATCTAAATTATTGCAATAACGATTGGCTAAAAAAAGTTGAGTTTTACCTGAATTAAAGTTCACCAGCCACTGTGAGCTCCATGCTGTAGCAGAAGTGAGATTCTTTTCAAGCTCAAAATGCTCCCTCAAAACAATCAGAGAGTGTTAGCTGCTTATCATGAAAAGAATGAATGGTAGTAACATCAGCTAACAATGCCACCTTAGATGTGAGATAATCTGGAAGATTGTTAATGTAAATTAAAAAGAGGTCCAAGGATTGAGTTAAGTTAGGCTTATGGAAAAGACCAGCATACCACGAATTTTTTCAGAATACCAAACTTTATCAAAAGCTTTAGAAATGTCAAGTGTAGCAGCCTTAGCCTCTCCACCTCTATCTAATGCATGATAAAACCTATTGGTTATTACTGTTAACAAATCAGTTGTAAAACGAGAAGTTATTAGATTTAAGATGAGAGATTAAGTGTTTGTTAATTAAAGACCCAGAAACCTTGCTAATGATAGAAAGAAGACTAATGGGGCGGTAGTTAGACAAGTCAGATCGCTCTTCAGAATTTTTAAAAATAATGATAACAGGTGCCGCTTTCCAACAGGCTGGAAAACAAGACTCTGATAAGCACATGCTAAATAGTTTTGAAATTATAGGCGACAGCTCCGGAGAATACTTCTGCAAGACTATAACAGGTATGTTGTCCGGACCACAAGCTGTAGAAGAGTCTAAGTAGGAAATCACTTTATATACAGAAGCTAGAGTGATACAAATGTCAAGCAATGGAATGTTTGTCGGCTATATCAGGTTGAACGCAACAAGAGAAATCAAGTTAAAGATTCTCCATAAGTCATGAGAGCCTAATTTTTGAGATGAAATACAACCTGACCTGAAAATAGCAGGCTTTAGCGTTAGACAAAACCTTTTTACAATGGTTTCCAGCGATAGTCAACATACATCTGTTTTCTGGAGAATTGATTTTCTGATAGATATGGAAGTAATGGTTTCGATTCGAAATTGTAACAGCACAATGTGAAATAAACAAAAGAGAAGAGTGAGGCTTGACTTGGAATCGTTGAGAGGGGATAAAAGATTTCATGTCAGCCTGAATCCAAGAAGTTAGAAGTTTGGCTGATGGATAAAGAGAGAGGGCCTGGTCGATTTGATCAGAAATAACATTGAAAAGAGTGTAATCTTCAGATGAAGGAGTGCGATATAGAACAAAGAGAAAGGTGATAGAGTGAGGTGGTGCTAAACAAAAACACATAAAAGAATAGTCAGTTGATTCAAACCTAGTTTGCCGACAAATGGGTGAATTCTTATAAATGTAAATGCCCAAGCCAAGCATGTGACTATTAGAGTCTTTACACGTTAAAGGAAGATAACCATCAACACTAAGATCACAAGATGAGATAGCCTAACTCAAATTAGTCTCACAAAGAGCAAGTAGGTTTTGTGAACTTTGCAAGAAAGGAGACTCAACAGAAGAGTTACTTTTTCAGAAAAGTTACTTCTAAGACCATGTATTTTAATGAATGATAGGTTTAGAGAACTTGGTGATGATGGTTGTTTGTGTTTTATAGTTTTTGGTACTTTATTCATTTTTAAATTTTTTAAAGAACTTGACTCAAAGGTAGTACTCTGTGCACTATTTAATAACTCAAGCAATTTCCTCAATAATGAGGCAATTACTTGGGCTATTAAATAGTGAAAATATTTGGGCTATTAAATAGTGAAAATATAAAAACTCAAAGAATAGTCTCATATTAATAAACCCTAAGCTATAATAAAGGGCTCCAAATGTGGCCTAGACATTGCACATCAAAAGTACGAACACGGATACCATCCATGCGCAACATGGTACTCTTAGTACTCTGATGTTTTACAGCTGTTGGTGGAATCAGCTTTTCTTAGAGCTACCACAGAGTTACGGAAACCTGGCTGCTGGCCGGCCTCAGAATCATAAAACTGAGTTTTAGAGTTGTACCCTTATTAGGAGATAATAGAATGACTTGCCTTGTCGTAAAAACAGAGACACAAGCAAAACCCATTACATTGAGTCAAGAAGATCCAGCATTCAACATCCTAAACTGGAAACAATGTATTGTAAATACATCTGCGCCAGCCTAATAGATAAAGAAGGAGTGCGAGGCTGGTTAACAGATAGAATCTATTCACCCCTTAAGTCTTTGCCTAGAAGGCCTCATACAAGACAATAGCCGGATGTATTTAACATCTGCCCAAGATGAGTATTTTTATTGAGACACCATCACTAGCCTTAACTTAACCAAGAGCCCCAAGCAGGGGGTGTTTTAAGTTGGAGTTGGCTTCTCCTAGCCTTTGCCTAAAAAAGTGTATCCTACAAGGCAGCAGGACATGAAGCAGGTTGTTAATTAATAGTAAAACTTTGATATGTTGAAAAAATAATAATAATCAATAGAAAAACTTTAATATGAATTTTTTAAGCAAGTTTTTTTTACTTGGCAAATATTAATTAATTGTACCATTATAACTGCTGATTTAGCAACATTAATTATAACTTTAATAACAATTAACAGCTAATCAATTATATCTTTATGGTAATGCTTCCTAATTACTCTCTTTAATTTCTGAGACTTATGGTTCATATATGTTATTTTTCAATTTTTCGACTTTTTGTTTTAACCACTGAATATGGTAAAACAACTAATATTTTTAATTTCAGAGTACATGATAAGATGATGATAATAAGATGATGATCACAAATAATGATCAGATGATGATCATATGGATCTGTGTTGTGAATCCAAAAGTTAAGGGAAAAAACAATAAAATATTCTTTAGACATAAACCTACTTTTTTACCTTTTCTATCATCAATGAAATTTTTCATGTAATTCTAATAGTTCTATGTAGCTCTCAGATCTTGGGTTAGTTTTGATTTGTTTTTAGTTCAAAGGACTTCTATGGCACTGTTTGCTTTATGACATGGGGCACTATCCTACAAAAAATGTGATTTTAGAGCAAGAAGTTGTAGAGATGATTTTTCAGTACATCTAAGTATCAGTATTCATAGTTGTCTAACTGTGTACTTGTTATGGTAACAATTCGTATTTGATGGTCATATAACATTTTAAACTGATCAGATGGTTCTAGAGGTACTTATATCAGAAAACTTTTTTCCCATAGTTCAAGGGTTCAATTTTATATATTTGGGCAAGAGTCAGTCCTTTTTTCATCATTTTTTGATTTAGTAATGGTTTTTTGGAAGCAAAGTGACAAAACATTTTTAGATTTTTTTAAAGATTTTTCTGTATCTTATGTTCTGTATGTAGTTCCAACAGGAAAGTGTCTAAAGTGTTTAGAATGATCTTCTATAATTGTTTTTTGTCAAAATTTAACAATTAACAGTTTGTACTCTTGTTAAAAATCTTCAATGATTTTTGTAAACTACATAGTTTTATCAAATATTTTCTTTCTTTGTAATTCTGCACTTAATATGGCTTTTTTTATAACGAATTTTCTACTAGAAATAAAAACAGGAAATACACAAAAAAACACAGTTCACACAGTAGACACAACAGTTAATTAAAGCAATAGCATTTACAAAATATTTAAAAATAAAATTTTTTAAATATTTTGCACATGTCCAAGCAAAATATATGCTTGGGAAAGTGCTTGACTGAGTCTTGTTTTCCTGCCTGCTGGAAAATGGCATTTGTTATTCCAGTTTTCAAAAACTCCGGTGAAAATTCTGACCCCTCCAATTATCTTCTTACTGTTATTCTCACATTTCATCGTGAATCAAATAACTTATTGTCAGACAATCAATATTTTCGATCCTCTTGCTTTACAGCTGACTTTTTAACTGCTGTGACTGAAAGATTTTGTAGTGCTATTGCTTTTGACATACCTAAGGCTTTTGACAAAGTTTGACATACTGGTCTTCTCAATAAGCTTGTTTCTTTCTAACCGCTTTATTAAAGTCATCCTCGAAGGCCAACACTCTTCTTTATTTCCAGTAACTTCTGGAGGTACCTCAAGGTTCCATCCTTGGTCCTGTTTTGTTTCTTATCAACATTAATGATCTTCCTGACAGCCTTACAGCTAAATAGCTCTTTTTGCTCATGACTCAACTTTATACTCCTGTCTTAACAAAAAGTCTTCTTTTTTTCGATCGCTTAGAACAGGCAGTTGATCTTGAATCCGATCTCAGTTCTGTAACAGATTGGGGCTCACAGTGGCTTGTAAATTTTAACTCCAACAAAACAGTTATACTGCAAACAATTATTGCAGTACTGTCGGCGTTCCTATATTAATGAATAGTAACCTCTTCTTTACGTCTTCTTGGATTATTGTTTACTACTGACCTTTTATGGAAACCATATATACAATCGATTACTAAATTAGCATCTGTTAGGGTTGCTTCTCTTTATAATGCTTGTTATTTTCTCTCTCCTGATTCCATTCTCTACCTCTGAAAATCTCTTGTTTGTCCCTGTATGGAATACTGTTGTCATACTTGGGCTGGTTTTTCTAAGGATGCTCTTTCTCTTCTAGACAAAGTTCAAAGACGCATTGTAAATGTAGCTGGACCTGCTCTATCTGCTAAGCTTGAGCCTCTTTTCCATTGTTGTAAGTTTGCATTTCTTTCTCTTTTCTACTAATACTTTCATGGTCACTGCTCAAAGGAGCTATCACCTCTAGTTCCATCAACTAAAACTTATTCTTGCTTGAGTTGTCATTCAGCAAAGTCTCATTCTTTTAATGTATTTGTCTCTGCATGCTCTTAAAGCTTTTATTTGTCTAGTTTTTTCACCACACTTTAACCCTTTGGAGCTCTCTGCCATCTTCATATTTTTTCTGATTCATACAACTTTCAATTTTTTAACTCTTCTGTCGATTGTTTCGTTCCTCTATAACTTTATTCTTTTTTATAGTAACTCCCAACTTAATAGTGGTTGCTTGCAGCATTGTTGGGAGTGAATCAGAATTTTTTTAAAATGTAACTATTCGAGTCTTGAAGTAGATGGCTTTTATCCCTTGAGTAAATCAAGGGATAAAAGCCATCAACTTTGCAACCCTAAGATCATGTAGCCTAGTTTATTTCACAAAGAGCATGTAGTAAGTGAGACAAGTTTTAAGATCCAATGGATAAAAAACTTTGAAAACCAAAATCAATAACAAGCTTCTATCATAGCTATCACAGAGTTTGGGAATCCTTACTACCAGTTGGTCTTAGAAAAATTAAACTGAGTTTTAGAGCTGTACCATCATCAACAGAAAGAGGCAGCACTACCAAGGGCACAATAGCAAGAACCAATATGTCGAGTGAAAAAGAGCTTGGGTTTATTGCTGCAGTAATATAAACCTTTGTTTATATCATTTAATATTAAAGTTTAAAGTTTTATTAAATTCTTTTTTCTGATTTCTTTAACCGTTAAGTTTAAAGAAAATTTACAAGTATAGCCAAAGAATCAAGAGATAATCAAGAGATAACCCAGAGAATCAAGCCAAAGAGAATCAAATCAAGTACTAAGATATAATGAACAGAGATACCACATCATATTATAGGAGGCAGAGTGAAACACCATAAAAAGGTTTTTAAGTTAGTTTTTATATTAATTTTCTCTAGAAAGAAGCTGAAAAAGCTACTTGCTTGTCAAAGACAAAATGGTGTAATCTAAATTATATACATAGTTTTTTTTCAAATTAATATAATGCATTCAATGTATGTACGGCGATTTTTGTAGTGAGTAATATAATTGGGAAAACTTTTGAGTCAATTTATGTTGTTTATTGTTTAACACATTTGGATTTAAGTTTTAATTTGTGGTTATAAAATCATGTATTACTTCTCTGCTTATACTACTAATGTTTGGTCTTGCTCTTGTTAACCCAAACTAATGCCTCATTAATACCATTTTCATTATCATTCTGTTCTCTTTTGTAGAACACTGAAGGCACAGCTCTGTCAAACAGTTAACACTTTTCTCGACTGTCATGTTATCAATACGCAATTTGGATTTGACAGAGCAAGATTAGACATTGGCGTTTAACTTATGATGTGAGCTTGATGCAGGTTTTCGATAAAATCATGGTCCATGTTTAATATTATGTTTTAAAATATATACAGATTAAGATATTGTATATAGTAATTTGATATAATATATATTTGATATAATGATAAAATCTGTGCATTTAAATTTTCTATAAAACTGGATAGGGGATTTTAAAAAGTTGTTTTTTTTTCAGGTTTTTTAATAATCTGTCCATAACTCGAAAGTTTTTTTGTGCTTATGAAGAGGTTTTTATGTTTCATGAAAACGTTTTTTCTGATGTATATGTTGTTTTTTTTATTTATTCTTTTTTTTTTTTTCGTGACTTTTTCGCGAATAATTTGATTTAATACGATACTTATAAAAATATTTTTATTATTTTATAAAATTTTTTACTGGTGCATCCTCATTTTGATGTTGAAATGTTTTATTTTTTCGAATTTCTTATAGATTTGTAAATTAACGGTAATAAATATTGTATATAAAATGTTATGGTATAAATTAAATCCAATTTAGTTGATCCTTAAAAAAAAAACATTTTTACATTATCAGAATTAAACAGTTACAATAATTTCTGTTTTGTTTTGTTTTTTTTATTTGCTTTTATTACAGAATAACCAAATTAACTCGCCTCGTATTGTTCCCCGAGTCTCAGATGAACCTCGGCCGTCGATTGTGAGCCTAACAAGCAACACGTCATCGACTTTAATGAGAGGAGTGAATGGGGAGGTTAAAGAAGCATTCGGTAAATATTGCATAAACTGTTTTTTTGTATTTGCTTATGTGCTCTTGATACATGTTTTATATAATACGTTAAGGAAAGTCTGGTGCTAAAGAGGTAAGCGATCAAATGGGAGACGATTTGCAAGCAGATCTTCTTGCAGCTGTAGAAGAAGTCGCCTCGGCTATGACAACTGTGGTGACAGAAATAAGAGCAGGTTTATATATATATATATATATATATATATATATATATATATATATATATATATATATATATATATATATATATATATATATATATATATATATATATATATATATATATATATATATATATATATATATATATATATATATATATATATATATATATATATATATATATATATATATATATATATATATATATATATATATATATATATATATATATATATATATATATATATTGAATTTTATTATATTACATTGAAAGGTTGTTATAAATTTTTTCATATTTATTTATATATATATATATATATATATATATATATATATATATATATATATATATATATATATATATATATATATATGTGTATATATGTTTTTTTGTTTAGATGGCACACCATTTCAAGAATACGATGAGCAACAAATAAATGTCGATGTTGTTGTTGCGGTTAGCAGTGCTAAAAATACCGTATCTAACACGGAAGTGACGGTTTACTAAACGCTTTATTTTCCTCTTATTGTTCATATTTCTAGTGTTTATTTTTGACATGTTTTTTAATAAATAAATTTTTTTACAGAATTCACTTATGTTAAGTTAAAAATATTTAATCTTATTTATATTTTTATTTCTCGGTTGCCGGTTAAACTCTTGTCGTTATAGCGATATAGAAACTTAACTGTCAACGAATGTATGAATCTAAGGATACTATAGTATTTTGCATATTTTATAGGAGTTTATAGTTTTATGTAAATAGTTGCATTTTTTACATTAATTTAAAATTGAAGAAACGTCTCCAAAAAACGACGTTTAGTTCAAAGAAAAATAAATGGTCTAGTTGAAATGTTTTTTCTAAAATCTTTTCAATCTTACATTGTTTATTTGGGACGTTTTTAAACAGCTGTTAAATCTAAAATTTAAAACTATTTGTTGGTTGTTTTTACAATTTTTCAAATTTTTTTTTTTTTTTTTTTTTTTTTTTTTTTTTTTTTTTTTTAACCTACAAACATTGTAAAAAAAATCTGTTCTGATTATATTTATTATTTTTATTGAGTTAAAATTTTTTTTAAATACAAATGTTCTATCTTTTAACTTATTGTATCCTGATTCTTTTATCCACCTTTTTGTTGTTTACAAAAACAACTTTGGTACTTTAACCCAAGTTCCAAAAGTTTGCTTTTGTTCCAAATGCATTTAAAATCCATTGTAAATGTATATCATTTGCTTTTTACAACATAATAATTTCAATATTAAAAAACGTTGCGCGTTTTTTGGTTATGTAAAAAACGTCAGCTTAAGTTGGACCTCGAAGTGAACCGGTTTTAGTTAACTTAATTAAAATAACTTAAAAATAAAATCATTTAAAAAATATTATTTATGTTTCAAATTATATTGTTTATGTCTACTTGGTAATTCAGTTTTAAAACACAAAATATAATGTTGTTGAACTAAGTTTAACAAGATAAATGAAGTTGATTGCTCATAAGAAAAAGAAACACGTTTAGTTATTTTTGTTAAAAACATTTTGATATTTCTTTAAATGTAATGAAAGAATTATCAAATTAAATATCTTAGATACTATAAAAGGCTATTTCTGCATCTTAAGTATATAAACAGGCAAGTTGTTGTAATGTTTAATGGTTTTGCTTATAAAAAATTCTAGTCTAGTCTTTTATATATTCTTCCGCTATTGTTATATCATCATGCTTTGTCCAGTGTAAAATTCTTCAAATTTAATTGTGATGGGTTGTTTTTGTTCAGTACTTTTTCATAGTAGTTTGCGAACTCTGGAGTGCATTTTTTGTCTTTTTTATTATTTCTGTACCTCAGAGGTCAACTATTGTAACTCATATTTGACTAATTTTACAGGAGAGCCAAATGAAGTTACTACACTTCTTTCATGTCCACGCGAACGATATTTTACTACTAAAACAAGACGATCTTCCTGTGACAGTTAAGATAAAAACCTGAAAATCAGTACTTTAGCAGTTACGATAGTTGACCACTAGGGTACAGATTTATATTAGGGGCTGTTCATTAAATATGCAATAAAATAGGGGGAGGGGACCTATTTTTTAACAATACGCCATCCTAGAACAACAAGGTTCCAACAGCCATCAACATGAAACTGAGATAGCGAGCTTCAAAGAGGAAGGACAACTGAGACACTATCAATAATTTTAAAAGAAAATTATCAAGTTTCTCAGGATAGCTTGTGTTTCATTGTTAGTGATATTCAAAGAAACATTATTCCCTCGTTTAATAAACAATGGACCAAGGCGTCACGAAAAGTGGACGCTTTTTTATCTAACAACATTAATTGGTTAGATTCAGAATATAACGTATTTTTACCAAAATCGAAAAATGCAATAACAGATCCCATGCCATCTAGATCATTTGAAAAACGTGAAAGAACGTGCATGTCTAATAGAGATTTGTCAGAGACCAGTAAAAAAAGAAAAAATTCCACATTAGTTAAGGATATTAGATTCAAGCATATCTTAAATGCATATCTTCAGGCATTACGTTCAATAAGAGAAAAAACAGAAACAAAGATTGTGGAAGCATTAAGGATTGCCGAAAAAGAAAAAAAGGTCTCTGTCTCGAGTTTTATGAAAAACACAAACGTTTTACTGACAGATGAAGAAGCACTCAGCGTGTTTGCTGATTTAGATTTAACTAAAGCACAATATTTATACTTGAGTAAGTTGACAGACGAAAAAAACTGTTCTTTATTCTCACTGTATTACAAGTTGCAAAAAATTAAACAAACTTGCTATCCACCACACTCTACAATAGAAATTACGAACACACATGCAAAATTTATGGAACAGCAAGATTTATTGGATCATACTGTAGATAGAATTTTGACTATAATTGTTTGAATAAATTTAAACAATTAATTTTGTACAGTAAATGGGGTTGTGATCGCTCCTCTGGCCAAAGCGAGTAGAGCAGAAACTTCCGATGGAATCTGAACTTATTTCTGATGCGAATTTATTTATTAGTTTTTTGGTACCAATCAAATTAGTTGATGAAGTAACTGGCACAGTTTTTGGTAAAATCCGGCTCCTTTTTCTAAACGTTTTTGTCGACCTACAGTAATGGACAAAACATTTGCAACCAACACCGAACAATGCTAAAAGGTGTTCCTAATTTTACATGTCTTAAAAACGAAACAAACTATACTACCACAGCAAACAGTTCAGGAGTCTGAAGTCATATTATGCTATGGCATGAGCAATCAGCTGACAGGTGACAGCACACAGGCAGAATTTCGTTGACAAGTGCCATTTTGCAGCGGACAAAACAAGTGCAAATTTTTTAGTTTGTTTCATTTTCTTAAGTCCGTGTCAACGTCACGGAAGTTTTTTAATAATTAAAGGCAGTACCCAGAAGTTTCCAGAAGCATGCAGAAGCTTCCAGAAGTTTCCAGAAGAAGTATCTGGAAGCATTCAGATCCATCCAGAAGTATCCAAAAACATTCAGAAGTATCCAGACGCATCCAGAAGCTTCCAGAAGCATCAAAAAGAAGCATCTAGAATTTTCCAGAACATATAAGAGACATGCAAACCAACATGTAATTCAGTCAGTATATGGAAATCAATCAGTCAGTATTATCAAGACAGTTTATCGAAGTGAGTTTTATCAAAGTGTTTTATCAAAGAACATCAATACAAGAAGTGAAATACGACAAGTGTTTCATTACATAAATTCAGTCCACATCCAACCAAGACGTTGTGTTCCACAGAGCATTATTGTATCATCACAAGGTAAATGTAACACGGTAAGTCTTGAGAAGCGTGATTATTTATTTTTATTATTTTTATGACTTCAAGTGCAAAAATGGCTCCCGACAGTCTTGGATTGGAATTAAGAAAGAAAATTATTGGCGATTACGTAAGTGGAATGTCACAAAAAGTATTTGTGATAAATATCGCGTAAAAAAATGGACCGTATCAAGACTATGTTCCAAATATCATTCTACAGGGAAGTTGGCAGCAGATAACAAAGGTGGAAGACTATGTTCCATCCCTTCTATAGAGGATTCTATGATCGTCAGATCCGTCAAAAAGGATCCCTGGATATTATCAGTCGAGATACAAAAGCAATTATAGCTGCCTGTATCGGACCGAGCAATCAGACGACGTGCTGTTGAAGCCGGATTGTTTTTTCAACGCCCTGCAAAAAACTCGCTGATTTTACTAAGAAGCAAAAGAAAAGACTCCTGTTTGCTACATCTCATGTTGGCTGGAATGTTTAGAAATGGCAAACTGTTTTGTTCAGTGATGAATTAAAGTTCAACATCATTGGGAGCGATGGCATTTGCCGTGTACGTCGACCGGCCGAAAAACGCCTCGATTTACATTACTGCCATAAGACCGTGAAGCATGGTGGAGGCAATGTAATGGTCTGGGGGTGTTTTTCTACTAACGGTCTAGGTCCAATACATCGAATCGATGGAATATTGGAACGTTTCATATATAAAAATATCCTGAAAGATGTTATGTTACCTCATGCTGAATGGAATATGCCAATAAAATGAATTTTTCAGCCAGACAGCGATCCGAAACACACTGCAAAAGTAGTCAAGCAGTAATTTTAAGACAACCACCATCGGTGATGGATTGGATGCCTCAATCTCCGGATCTCAACCCTATCGAGAACCTGTGGGAGATCGTCAAATGCAGAATTAATCGTGATGGTGTTCGTAATAACGATCAACTGTTTGAAAAAATCCAAAAGGCCTGGGCAGCGATTCCACAAAGTTTCATTGATCACCTGATCGAATCTATACCTCGAAGATGTATGGCTGTGATCGACAACAAAGGATTCGCCACAAAACATTGATAGCGAAATACAGCTTGGTTAACATTTTGTGGAGTTGCTCTTGTTTTTTCAAGAAGGAAATTAAGTTTTTTTAATACTTTTGATTATTTTAATAATTTTCGTGTACAAATAATGAACTTTGTGATGAATAAAACTTGAAGAACGTTGTCTCTAAACTGTTACATAGTTATTTCTCTAAATTGAAAAAATACAGCACTTTTGTATAAAGAAACTAAATTAGCATTATTTGGTTGCACTTGTTTTGTCCGATACTGTATATGCATAGAGTTTTGCAAAAAAACTCCTGAGAAAACTAAAATTGTTGCAGATAAAATAAAAAGCCAAATATACTCTTTACAGCCATCTATAATTAACAAAAGTTGTAAAGGAATACAAGTGAAAAATGAACTTTTTTTTAACAATGATAAATGGAAAAGTGGCTCAGGTATTAACGGATACGCCTTCTGCGTCTACATGTACAATATGTGGAGCTACTCTGTCTGCTAGACCTGAAGATGAAAATTCGTATCAATATGGACTGTCGACATCACATGCCTGGATTCAATGAATGGAAATAATATTACATATTTTCTACAACCTTTCTTTCCAAACATGGTCAGCTAAAGATAAAGAAAAAAAAACGACAAAAGAAACAGAAGAAGACGATGGTACAGAAGCGTTTTCGTGAACAGCTAGGGTTATTTGTCGACAAACCAAAACAAGTAAGTGGTAATACCAATGATGGTAATACTGCTA